TTAATATTGTTTAAAAGCGAATTGTTTTCACCGCTGGAGATTATTTTTTTTGTCTATCTGATTTTATGGTTGGCGCCTTTCCATCGAGTGAATCCCACCTCTCCCCACACTCACACCCCCCAGACTCCCTTCGACGGAATCGTCGCCATCGAAGGAAAAGTTTCCTTCTTTCTTCCACCCCTTCTTTCAATTTCAAATTATTGTTAGAAAAACTTTCAACAAAACCCTTTTTTTTTTTTAAATTTTTCTCCAGGAAAAACGAACGAGGGTCATAACGAAAGGGGTTAAAGGTCAAATATATATATATATATATTTGACGTGGCACTCACCGGACATGTTGTGGTATTTTTAATTTAATTTTTTTTTTATTAAAATTCATGCGACGCAAATCTCCCATGTTTTCCCATGTCATTCTTAATTTATACAAATTACAATTTTCTACCTATAAACTTATGTAATCTGAAGGCAGCTCAGAATTTTTCTAATATTAAAATTTTACACTAAAAGTATGATAAAATATGACAAAATGTAACAGAAAAATATAAGAAAAAAGAGGTTTAGTTTTTTTTTACTTTAAGTTAACCAATCACGAGTGAAAATGGAGGTGTGGTTTTTATACCTTAAATTAACCAATCACGAGTGAAAATGGAAATGTAAAATTTTGATACAAAATTTTAATTTTTTTACATCAATTTTGAATGGTAAAATACGTTAAGATGTATCAGAAAAACATAAGAAAAAGGAGGTTTACGGAGATTTTATATTTAATAAATCAATAAATAAATAAAAACTTGATTTTTAATACATTTATTTATTATAAAGTTTAAGTTATAAATACATTATAATTTATACTATATAAAATTTTTTTTCTTTTATTTTTTTTTTAACGCGTAATTTTTATTATTATTATTTAAGAAAAAAAAAAATCAGTAAATTAATAAAATAAATCTTCAGGAAAAATTATTTGCATCGATCGATCGAATTACAATGGCATGGCTCCCAGTGCTCCCACGATGACCGGAATAGTTTCTGTTTTCTTTCCCTACAACCTGGCTATTTCAATTTCTAAATTTCTGTACTTCAGTTTTTTGTCTGCTTCTTTGGCTGTCTCGTGTTTTTTTCTGCCGGCACGGATACTTCAATCATTTTACACCACTTTTCCGTACTATACCTCAGGATGACATCCGGTTTGTTGGCCGACGGTTACGGTTTATGATATAATGATGTGATAATTACGAATGCGTTTTTTTAATAAATTTATTTATTGTTTTTTAAATCGTTGCACGCTTTCCCCCTCACTCTTTTTGTGTTAATTCGAAACCCCTCTACTCCCCCTACCCCCCAAAAAAAAAAATTCAAAAAAACGATGGAAAAAAATTTAATTTTTTTTTGTTTACGTTTTTCGGTGATGTTTTTGTTTTTGTTTACGTTTTTTGTTTTTGTTTTTGTTTTTGTTTACGTTTTTTGATTTTTTTGATTTTTTTTTACTTTTTTTGGATTTTTTTTGTTTACATTTTTTGGTGTTGTTATTGTTTTTGTTTACATTTTTTGTTTTTGTTTTTGTTTTTGTTTACATTTTTTGTTTTTGTTTTTGTTTACGTTTTTTGATTTTTTTGATTTTTATTTTTTTTTACGTTTTTTGGATTTTTTTTTTGTTTACGTTTTTCGGTGTTGTTATTGTTTTTGTTTACATTTTTTGTTTTTGTTTTTGTTTTTGTTTACGTTCAAAAAACATAAGAATGAAGAGGTTTATTTTTTTTTTCAAATCACGAGTGAAAATGGAGGTGTGGATTTATAGATAAAGTCAGGTGTAAAAAAAAAATTAAATCAATTATTAATATAAATATTTTTATTAAATCAATTTTATTTTTGTTATAAAAGTTACAGACTATTTGTATATTTAAACTTAAAATAATATAATTTAATTATTACTAAAAAATATAAAAAATTAATTACATCACAATAAACTAGACTTAATTACAAAATTTTTGATATAAAATTTATAAATAAATTATTAAATAAAACTATTAAAATTATTTAAATAAGTCGACATGACTTAAACGCATGTCAACCGTTGCACACTACCTTACAATTATTATTATTATTATTATTATGGTCACTCTTAAACACGACAAGGCTTTTATTTGTCGGGGTTTTTAAGCATTTATCCCAGGTTTCTACCCGACGACAATTCCTTAGGGATAAATGCTCGAATTTCGTTTGTGCTATTTATACAATATTTTCCGAAGAATGTGGGCCGTCCCACATAGTGCAATTTCATGGATGGTTTCTTCTTCTTTTAGGTTCTTCAAAATCTTCTTTAAATTTCCTTTCATTGAATGTGGTGGCATGGCTCCCAATGCTCCCACGATGACCGGAATCGTTTCTGTTTTTGTTCCCCACATCCTGGCTATTTTAATTTCCAAATTTCTATATTTTAGCCTTTTGTCTGCTTCTTTGGCTGTCTGGTGTTTTTTTCTGCCGGCACGGATACCTCAATTAACTTACACCATTTTTCCCCATTATGTCTGAGGAAGAATATCCGGTTTGTTGGCTGGCACAGTTCTGTCAGTGTGGATTTGTTGATCATACAGAACTGTGCATGAACCTACTGTCGTAACCGGGCTTGTTGCCCTTCTTCCATTATCTCATTTTCTTTATTTTCTTACGACGATTTGTTTTGTCCTTTTCAGTACTCCTTTTTTTGTAATTTTTTCATCCGTATGTATGACTTGAGCTAAGACAGCGAGGGATTCAACATATATTCCTGAAGTTTCTACCTTTCTTTTGTGAAAAATTTGATCTTATGTATCAGAAAAACATAAGTCCAAGGAGGTATAAAGTAAAATAAAATAAATAAAAAAAAAAAAAAAATGCAACATTGGGTTCCCGCGAAAATAAAATGTCACATTTAAAATAAAATGTGTACAAGGTCGTCCTACTTAGCGTAAACAGTAAACAAGGTCGACCTTGGTTGAAAAAACGTGACCATGAAAATTTTCACAAAATTGAAATGTAAAACTAATGGCCTTGAATTCAAGGTCGACCTTGGTTGAAAAATTGTGACCATGAAAATTTTCACAAAATTGAATTTTAAAACTAATGGCCTTGTATTCAAGGTCGACCTACTTTAGAATAAATCGTAAACGTTGGATTTTCGCGGTCAAGGTCATTTTTAACTTAAAACATCGAAAAATTTCCTCTGATGTATCAGTAAAACATAATATCCAAGGAGGTATAATAAAAATATCGCAAAATTTGTTTTTTTATGTGTACTGAGTACACATAAAATCAGGTATGGAAATTTGGATGGGGGGTGTATGGAGATTTTATATTCACTCGATACAATAAATAAATTAGTTACAAATATTTTTAATATTTTTATTGGCAAAATATATATTATAATGTAACAATAGGTTATTTAAAAGAAAATGGAAGAGTAAAATAATATACAATCAATAGATTCACATTTAAAAGAAGAGTACAAAGATTTTATATCCACAAAATACTAAAAATAAATTAGTTCCAAGTATTTTTATTCCTTCTTCAGTATGACAAGATGTTTAGCTCAACTTCTACTTATAATCAGCCCTCAGGAGATTAAATGGAGTCTGTTGTTCCTTTTTATAATTCCCTTCGCTAAAATCAATTATTATTATTATTATGTGGGTTACCAATTCCTCCTGACTTGATTCAGATTAAGACCTAAAACAATCAAAAATCAGAAAATATTAACCCTTAAAAAAAATTGATAGATTTAAAGTATAGAAATTTGATCAATACTTAAATCAATAATTAAAAAAATAATTTTATTAAATTACTCAAACTCTCGTTTTTTATTATTATAAAATCATCAGTTCCGTCAGTGTGTGGATTTGCTGGTCGTACAGAATCGTGCATGAACCCCTTGTCGCAACCGGGGTTGGTACCACTCTTTGGGTAATCCATCCATTCCATATTCTCGGCATATGGACTCCAATAGAGATATTGACATAATTTCTTCTGAGATTGGGCTTTCCTATCATAACCTGCAACCTGCTGCCCTCCCTTCTTCCATCATCTCGTTTTCTTTCGGACGATTTGTTTTGCCCCTTTTTAGTCCTCCTTTTGCCCTTTTTTTGTAATTTTTTCTTCTTCCGCATCTATAACTTGGGCTAATAAAATAAATTAAAATTATTATTATTATTATTTTACATAAAGTTACAGTTACACCTGGAGCTTTTTATTTTGATATGATTTTTTTTTTTAAAACGAGTTTTCACCTTAAATGTTCCGTTTGTGAACAGGTACACATTCATTCTTAACAAATATATTTATAAAATAATAATGATGATGATGATGATGATGATGATAATTTTTTTTTTTATTTATAAATTTAAATTTAATCACGTTCGACTTTTTTACTTTTTTTTTTTTTTTTTTGGAAAAAAAAAGATTTTTACGTGACTGACCGTTTTCGACCAATCACATGACAACGAATCACATATCGTTTCGGAAAATTTTTTTAACTGTTAAATTATCATCATTATTATCATTATTATTATTATTTTTCGTCCAATGAGTCGTGACGGTGTAACGACGAAATTTTTTTTTTTTTTTTTTTACAAATTCGTAAAGTTGAAAGCATTCGTGACGGCCGGGGTGATTCCGACACATCGAAACCGAAAAAAAAAATTTACCGGGATGACGAAAGCGGAAACGGAAGAAGAAATGATAGAAGGAAGGAAGGGGGGAAGGGGGGAAGGGAAAAGGATAATTTCTTTAATGTGAACGGCCATTTTGGTGTGTATCGATCGATGTAAAACAAAAGAATCCCCCCACCACCACCACCACCACCAAAGGTCTTATCAGTCGTGACGTTTATCATTTGATAAATTCCATTTTAACTCTATTATTATCATCATCATTATTATTATTATTATTATCATTATTATTAGTTTGCATAACAACCGTACGCTTAACGAATTACGTTTTTACCACAAAAATTTTTAATTATGATAATGATAACGATAATATTAATAATTAAAACGAAAGAAAAACGTTACGTAAGAGAAAGAGGACGAAGAGCGGGCGGACGGGGGAGGGGGGCGGGGGAAAAGAGGAAACGAAAATAATAATAATAATAATTCGTTTGTCGTTTGTTTAAAAAAAAAAAAAAAAAAATAATTAAAATCTTTTCCGGTCGAGTCGGTTTGCATGTTAAAATTTTCTAAAAAAAAATAAATAATCAGGTGTATCTATTCCCACGATGTTTTTTTTTTTTAAATAAATAAATAAAAAATGCGCCAAAAATAAATTGTTTTGAATACGTCCCCTATACACCAGTTATTATTATTATTATTATCGTCATATTTTCCGTTACTCGAATATATTTAAAAAAAAAAACTGGGTCTGCGACCACGACTTTCTTACACCTTAAAATATTTAATTGTATGAGAGTGTGCATGCATGCCTTTGTGTTCTCTCTCTCTCTCTCTCTCTCTCTCTCTCTCTCTCTCTCTCTATCTCTCTCTTACTTCTTCGATTAATTTGATAGTTAATTTGATGATGATGATGATGATGATGATGATGATGACGATGCGGTGTCGGTTCTTCTTTTGATTCACACGTATAATACCTGTCCTTACAAACGAATGTCGTTTTAATTCTTTCTCTCTTTTTTCTTTTAATAGGTGATATAGATGATTGTCTTGTGAGCCTCATTAACCAGGGACAGTTCACACCGTTGCCGGAAGCACTTTGTTGGGTTATATTGGAATTGACGTCATCGGGTCAACACGCCGTACTCGAAAGCATAAGAAATTGTCTTCATTTATCATTTCCAGATATAGAAAAACCATCGTCTCAAGTCGTATACGACACGTTAGCAAAATTAATGTCCGATAAAAAGGTAAAAACGCATCGTTACGTCATTACTATCATCATCATCATCATCATTATTATTAATTGAATTTTGACGCCGTTATAGATTTATCAAACGTCTCAGGGTTATTTCATAATAACGCCAGAAACGAGAAGGCTTAGGTTACAACAGAAACAATCGGATTTATCTCCAAACATGAATAGAACGCACAGGAGAAGTTATAGCGATGTCAGAGAGTAAGTAAACGGAAATGCGTACATTTCTTATATCGAAACGGAAATCGATGGATCGATTGATCGATTTTTTCGTTTGTTCACAGAGAATCGAGAACGACGAAAGGTCTTCTAATGAGCAACGAAGAAGCTTTGGCATATGTTCACGGTGAAATGACGACGATACGAGATGGTGACGTCACACATCAATCAATTCAAACGAATTTAGCTGACGTCATTTGCGGAGGTGAGAAGAAAAAAATTTAATAATAATAATAATAATAATGGTAAAAAACCGTTATTCGATGATGATAATAATTATTAGATTAATTAAAAACGATGATCCCTTTAACGTTTTAATTTGTTTTTTTTTAATGTCGTGGAAAAAGAAAAATAATAATAATAATAATAATTATAAACATTGTCACGGTCGAAATAAGTCAAAGGTCAAACATTTAAAAAAATAATTTCTAACCATGAAATTTTTCTTTTTTTTTTTTTTTTCCGTCCAGAGATAATTTCACGTAATAATCGCGATTTGAATACGTTTATATATATGTATAAAAAAATAATTTTATCGTGTCATTAGATTTTAAAAATTACATCTTCGAGATAATTTTTTACATTACTTTCATCGCAAACTAAAACCCCCTCCCCTCATTTTTTTTTTTTCGTATTCCAGGGAATCCAAACGATAAAATCCTATACGCTTCCATTCCGAAAAGGAGTACGTCATTTCCGCTCGAAAGGAGAAATTCTTTGAAATTATTCGGGTCTAATAAAAGGTTAAACGGATCTTTAACGAGAAGCGGAAGCATGAAATACATTCCGCATAAAAGCGGTACCCTTTTAACGGATAGTTCGAGTTCGACAGAATATACGACATCGCAAGATTATCAACCTTTAAGTACAAGTAAGTCAAAGAGAGAGAGAGAGAGAGAGAGTGCGTGCGTGCGTGGGTGCGTGTGCGTGTCATTCCCGAAACGGAAATAGTTAAAAAAAAATTTACCGGATTTGTTTTCTCCGTTCCAGAGAAAACTTCTTTACTGGCAAGACTGTTTCGTCGAAGCGGCCGTAAAAGAGGATTAAGTGCTCCCCCAACGATTCATACATTTTCCGCACAATTCCCTCCAGCTGAATGGTTCAATCCGAAAGTGATACACATGCATTGCGTTGGAACACAGACGAAGGTAAGTTCAGTTGGAAAGGTTTCCTGAAAAAAAAAGAAAAAATTTTAATCGTTATTATTGGCGGCAGCAGGCGCAAGACACGAATTCGGATGATCAACTTCTTCAATGGGAAATTGAACCCTCGAACGGTGGTAGATACGGGACGACGAGGAGATCAAACACGCGGGACAATCACAATTTACAAAAAGAGGGTCACATATATCAGAAACCGTCGAAACAGGGAATAATGGATAAAACGAACGGGAATACGGATAGTTTAAACAGGAGACAGGAAATTGAAAGGATAAGATTATTGAAATCCGACCACTTATCCGCGGATAGATTACCAACGTCGGAAAGATCGTTGTTGTATCGGCAACTCTACGGTCAAGAAAGGTCATCGTCGTCGAGAAGGAGTTCATTTTCGAAAAGTTCGAAAAGTTTAAATCGGAATTACATGGAATTTTCCGACAAAACGATCGAGTCGTCGAGAATATACGAAGAAATCAAAAATAAAAGTTCGGAATCGTTTCCCAAATTGGTCGAAACGTTTTCCGAACGTAACGATGGCACCGGCATATACACGAAAATATCAACGAATAAAAAAACACGTTCGAACGAGGGTTTCGGTTCGGATGGTAAAAACTCTGGTAAAAAGGAAATGGTATCCTCGAATCCTACGACTCCCAAATACAGGAGAAAAATCGAAAAAAGGAGTTCGAGTTTACCGAGGAGAAAAATATCTACGACGTCGATACAAAAATCCGATGGCGTCACTCACACGGATTTCCCATATTACGATGAAAAATTATCCAAAACGGAAGAGTCGCCGATAACGCCCAATTTGACCAACAGAAGATCGACGAGTTATGAAAATGTCAATTTCGAAGATGATTTTATGAAAAAATTGAGTACAAAATCCGAGAGTAAAACCGCGGCGGGAAAATGTTCGAAAGATTCCGGAAAGGAAAAGAAAATCGAGGAAACGGATATGAATAAATTCAAACCCATAACGCCGATATATAATTTCGAAGATGGTTGTCAAGATATGACGTCACTAACATCATCCGGTTACGACACGCAAACGAATTCAATCGTATCGACTTCCGATCAAATACCATATTCTTTAAAATTAAATAAAAATTATTTGAATTCGACGACGCCACCGCCATCTTTAACCATAACCGAAGATTTCGAACAGAATAAAAATAATAATAATAATAATAATAATAATAAACTTTCGTCCGAAGATAGTTCGAGATCCGTATCGCCATATTCACCTCCGGTTAAATCGGAAAATAAGAAACAACAGCAACAGCAGCAACAACAACAGCACCCACCACTCGTTAACGTTAGTTCGAATATATCCGTAACAACCGGAAACGGTAATAAAAATTCACTTTCCGTTCAAGTGATGACCAATCCGAATCGAATAGAAGGACCTAAAGTGTTTGTGTCTTCGAGTTCTTCGGACGGTGGGAAAACACTAACGCGAGTAAAAGACAACACGTCGATATTCGTACAATCCTCTCCTGTTTCGAATTCTTCGACGACGACGACAACTGACGTCATCAACCGTCAAAATTCTAAACGAGATATCGAAAAAAATTTAAAAAAACTCGAACGATTTCCATCGCTGTACAGTCCGAAAGAAGTTTTAAAAACAGGATTCGATTGTAAAAATTATAAATTTCGTCAAAATCAAACCGATGACGATGACGTCGATGATGATGACGTCGTGAATGATGATGATGATGATGATGATGATGACGACAACGACTCCGATCTCGACGACCGGAGAAAATTTTCTGACTTCGATATAGAAACGATTATATCGAAAAATCATGAAAATTGTTCGATTGTTCAAAGCGTAGATTCGGAAAAAGACGAATACGGACTAAGTCACAAACCCATACCTAGACAACCGGAAGTCAAACAATTTTCCTCTTCCGAATTTACGCAAGATGAAAAATTATTTTCGTTCGGGAGTAAAAAAACAAATTCTAAAATACCTGTTATGAAAAATCGTAAAAATATCGTCGACAGGAGTGCCAACAATATTTTAGATACGACGCCATCTTGTTTTACGAAAACCAGAGGAGGAGGAGAATCGTTGACGACGACGACGACGATGAAAAAAGATTTCCACGAATTTCCAAGTCTCACCGATTTATCCCTCAATTTTAAATCCATAGCCGCACAAAATATATTGAATAACATAAGCGTGACGAGCGTTGATACTTTGGTCGAAGTCAACATGGCCGCCAATAATTCCAACGAAAAATCAAATAATAATAATAATAATAGCAGCAGCAGCAGCATTAACAACAATAATAATAATAATAATAATAGTAATCCTCTCGTAAATCTTCAAACGGATTTCGGAGTGATCTGAAAAAAAAAAAAAAAAAAAAAAAAAAAAAATTAATAAATAAAATAAATTCCCTCCTCCTCCTCCTCCTCTCGCAGGTAATTTTACCGCCATTTTTTTTTACGTTTAATAAATATTATTATTATTTTCATTTGTACATAACTTATGTATAAAAAAAAAAAAAAAAAAAAAAAAAAAAAAAACCGTTTTTCTATTCCCCCCTTATATTCTTTTACTTTTATATGTTTAAAAAAAAAAAAATTTTAAATAATAATAATAATAATAATAATAATAACATTTTTAATTTTTTTATAATATATCGCCATTATGTATTTTTAATTATTAAAAAAAAAAAAAAAAAAAAAAAAAATTTTTAAACATGTCTGAAATTGTTCATCTACCCTTTTTTTTCATTTTTATTTGTGTAAAATTCATTTATATTATAAATATATATATAAATATATACATATTTACATATAACTGTTTTGTTTACAAAATAATTATTTAATTTTAAAAGTCATAGAGTAATTAAATCCTCGTCCCTCTCGCGCCAAAAAAAAATTTCTATAAAAATAATAATAATAATAATAATAGTCGCGTTTCTTTAAAATTTCTTTTTTGCCATCATATACGCTGCGTATCGAACATAAAGAGACCGTTAAAACCGATTTCGATATATCGATTTTTTTTTTTTTTTTTTTTTTTATTCTATGATTATTCGTTAAACGAAATGAATTTACCGTTGTTTTCAAATTTCCCGCGTAAAAAATTTTTTAAAAAAAATCAACATATCGAAATATATTAATTAATTAATTATTAATTGAGTAAATTACATGTTTTCACCCCCCTCCCTCCTCCTCCCTCGTGATTACGAAAGAGAAGAGAAAAAACGTTACGTTATTAAAACAATAATAATAAAAATTACGTTAATAAATAAATAAATAAATAATTAATAATAAATTTTAATTATTAATAATAAATAAAAAAAAAAGAAAGAAAGAAAGATTTTTTTTTTTTTTTGTTTAATTTAAACTTTCGCGTGCGATTTTATGTATTTAGTGCGTGCGTGCGTGTGCGTGCGCGCGTTTGTGTGTCTGTGCGTGCGTACGCAATAAAATTTCCTTTCATGTTTTTAATTACTTATGCGATTTTTCATTAAAATTTTTTTTTTTTTTTTTGATTACAACCGGAAACGGTTATAGTCGGTCACGTGTCTTTTTAAAACGATTCTTTCGTTCGTTTTCATTACGGGTATTACATCCCCCGAATCTAAAAGAGAGAGAGAGAGAGAGAGAGAGAGAAAGAGAAAGAAAGAAAATTAAAAATTTTTTAAATCGACTGGAAAAATAATTTTCCTTTCATTGACGTCATGACGTTATTAAATTTTTTTTTCTTTTCGGCGGCGGTTTATAAATAGAATAATGAATCTAAAAAAAGAAATGACGATGATAATGATGATGATGATGATGATGATGACGACGAATAAAAGGAGAAAGGTTGGAAGAAACAAAAAAGAGAAAAGAAGGGGGAAAAATAAAACGTCAAAATGGAAAGGTGGAAAAGGGAGAAGAAGGGGAAATATGAAGGTAAAAGATTTTTTTATTCGCCCCCCCACCACCACCTTACCCCCACCCCCTCCACCTACCAACCACGCGAAAAAGAAAGAAAAAAAAAATTAAATGAACTTATTAAAAAACTTTTTTTTTTGTTTTTTTTAAAAAAAAAAAAAAACTAAATGGACAAAATCGTGACTTAAATTTCCATTATAAAACTTTACCATTATTATCATCATCATTATTATTATTATTATTATTACCTCACATATATATAAATATATATAAATAAATATGTCACGGATTAACTTGAGTCGATTCAGTGCCTTTAAACAGTTCGGAGACACTCTGCGAACGGTTCGAATCGTATCGTAAAAAAAATTTCAACGTTTTTACGTTTACCGTTTACCGTTTTATCATCATTATTATTACTACTCGCGATAATAATAATAATAATAATAATAATAATAATAATAATTACAGTTTTTTTTTCAATTTTTTTTTTTTTTTTTTTTTTTGTCGTAAGTATCGTTTACCATTATTTAAATCGTTTTTGTTTTTTTTTTTTTTTTTTTTTTTCAAAATCATAGAGTAAATAAATATATATAAAAAATAAGTAAACAAAATATTATTTGCGGTGTTGCGAAATCGGTCATCAATCGGTCGGTGGCGTTTCTTTAAAAATTAACATATAGTAATTTGTTATTGTTTTTGTTTTTTTTTTTTTTTTTTCCATAGAGTAATAAATAATTTTTTTTTTTATTATTTTCGATCCTGACACGTTTATAAACAAATGAAACGCGCGCCATAAACAAGTTTTTAAGCTCAATTACGTGAGCGTATATATATATACATATATATATTTTATTTTTATATTACTTTTTTCTTTTTTTTGATTACTTTATTATTACTATTATTATTATTATTATTTCTCTTTTTTTCTTTTTTTTTTTTAATCGCGTGTGAATGTGTTTTCGTTTGTAATTTTTATTTATTTATATATATATACATATATATATATATATTTCGTCCATCTTTCTTTCTTTCTTTATTTATTTTTGTATTAATGTTAAAAAATCAATATTTTACCTTTTTTCGTTTTTTATCCATCCTTATTTTCAATTCCATCATCGATCGATCTTTTTCTTTTTCATTTTATTTTATTTAACTCCTTTTATTTATAATAATAATAATAATAATAATAATAATTTTTTTCTTATTATACGCCGCTAAAACAAAAAAAAAAAAATATATTAATAATATTAATAATAATAATAATAATAATAATAAATTTTTTATTTATGTTTATATTCGAGTGTGCGCGGGGGAGGGGGCGCGCGTTCATTTGTGCGTGGTCGTGATTTAAATTTTTTTTAAATAATAATAATAATAATAATAATTTCTATATAACTAACCCCGGGGAGAAAAAAAAAAAATAACCAAAATTGTGTTTGTAAATGAGCTGAAACAACAACAACAACAACCACAACAACAACAACAACAACAACAATCACGATACATCCAACACACAGTATTAATAACAAGAATAATAATAATAATAATAACAATAATACGAAGAAAAAGAAAAAAAAAAAAATCAACGTCATGAGTTTAGAAGAAGGACCTTTCGTGTTTCGTGTCAACGAAAATGGTTCCGGTCCTGATTTATTGATGCAGGTAAGTGTGTAATCAAAACGATAATAATGATAATCATTACCATGCGAATCCGTTTCCCGTACACGATCCTCACCATTTTTATTTATTTATTTATTTCGATTTCGATTGTAACGTAATTTTGTCTATGCATAATTTTATTTTGTAAAAACAAACCTAAAACGATAAATATTCGATTCTTTTTAAGTGTAATAAATAACATTTTTTTTTTTTTTTTTCGGTATAAAACAATAAATAAAAAATTTTTTTTTGTTGTTTTGAATGAAAACGAAAATGAAAATAATAATAATAATAATAATAATAATAATAATAATAATAATAATAATAATAATAATAATAATAATAAACCAACAAGTTTGACGATAAAAAAAAAAAAAGAAACGAAACCTTAAAATTTTTTTTTTGGTGCACGAAACTCTTTCCCTCTCTCTCTCTCTCTCTCTTCCTGTTTCCCTCTCTTTCTCTTTCTTTAATTTCTTTGAAAATTTTGTCGTATCCCTTCCCGTCGTTTCCCTCCAACTTTTTTTTTTTTTTTCGTTTCTCTCTCTCTCTCTCTCTCTCTCCCTCTCATTCTTCTTTTCGTTTTCTTGTAAATAAATTTATTATTTTATTTTTTCATTTTCATTTTCGTTTTCGTTTTTTGACAAATGGTAGCCATTTAATTTTTTCTTTTTATTATTCATTAGTTTTTGTAAATTATTAAACTGAAAATAAAAAAATAAAAATTTATTAATCGTTTAGATGATAATCGTTCGTTTTGGGGGGGGGGGGGGAAACGTTCAAAAACTTTTCCGAGTCCTAATTTTCATTTCGTGTCTCCTAAATAATCATAAATTTTATTATTATTATTATTATTTCTCCCGTCCCCCGTTCCCCGCTCCCGCCCCCCCCGCCAACAAACATTAAAAATGAAATTTTATTATTAAACCTTGTTCCAATTACTTTTTTCAAATCACGATGATAATGATGACGTTTTCAGGTTTGTGCCGAAAGAGGATGGAAAGAATATGCGGAAAATAATTCAACGAAAGATAGTTGGAATCTATGGTGGAAAACTTCGGCATTTTCAATATCCCAACACAAACAGTTAAAAGCATGGCAGGTTTGTTTGCGGGTGGAGGATAAGAAGGAGGGTAAAAAGGAAAAAATTGTCATTTTATAAATCCCGCAACCTTTACTCAATCTCACGCCATTTCCTTTCAGTTTACCAATCACATGCCCAAAGGATCCACGATATGTAGAAAAGATAATTTGGCGAGAAATTTAAAATGTATGAAAAAAGTTTACGGAGGAATTTACGACATAAGGTCGGTCGGTTGTTAACGCAACAACAACAATCAATCACGACAAACAACAAACAACAAACAATCAATCGTGACAAATCATCTTATCAATCATTTATCAATTCCATTACCATTAAACGAATATAAATTGTTTATCGATTTTGATGATGATGATGATGATGATGATGATGATAATGAAATGTTTTTCCAGTCCTCCAGGTTACAACCTACCATTGGAATATACGAAATTAGTTGCCGATTGTTCTCGTCACGACGACGACGAAGATGACAATCAAAAAGTATGGATATGTAAACCCGTTAGTCAAAGTCAAGGAAGAGGAATTTTCTTGTTCAAAGTATTTTTTTCCATCCTTAAAATAATAATAATAATAATTTTTTTTCTCTCTCTCTCTCTCTCTCTATCACGTGACACACACGTTTCTTTTTCTTACTATTTAGAGTTTAAACGATCTGTCGTACGATTCGAATGCTGTCGTACAAAAATATATAAAAAATCCATTATTGATCGGAGGTTATAAATTCGATTTAAGATTATATGTTTGCGTACCTTCATACCATCCATTAACCGTTTATTTATATAAAGACGGTTTGGTTAGGTGAGTCTCGTCTCTCTATCCCTTTTTTCATTTTCCAAATATTTTTCATAATAATAATAATAATAATTTTCATTTTTTTTCTTTTTTTCATTAAGATTTAGCACGGATAAATTTTCGCTGTCGGATTTGAATAATCCATTTTGTCATTTGACAAATAGTTCTTTAAATAAATTAGGACCTGGTTACGCGGAACAAAAAGAACGAATCGGAGCGGGTAACAACAACAACAACGCGAAACGCAACAACCTTTTTCTAAATACCTGAACATAAAAAAATTTTTTTTTTTTTTTTTTAAAAAAACAAAATTTCCAATTAAAATAAATAACAACAATATTATTATTATTATTATTATTATTATTATTATTATTATTATTACGATTTTTTTATTTTCCCACAGGATGCAAGTGGAGTTTCACGCAACTTCGACAATATTTTCAACAGGCGGGAATACGCGATTGGTTACTTTGGCAAAGAGTTAGCGCATTGGTCACGTTAACCATTTTATCACAGAGTACTTCCGTTCCTCAAACAATCAACTGTTTCGAATTTTACGGTTTCGACGTTCTCATAGATGAAAAATTAAAACCCTGGTTGCTGGAAGTAAATAATAATGATAATGATAATGATAATGATAATAATAATAATTTTTTTTTTCTAACTATTAAAATTCATGTCAAACCTTTTGTTTTTTTTTCTTTTTTTTTTTTTGTTCACGTCAAATATTTATAAAAAAAAAATTTTAGGTAAATTTAAGTCCTGCTTTGGGAAATGATTGTAATGTTGATTCTATTGTTAAGAAACCATTATTACATGATCTGTTTGATCTCTTAGGTCTCCCCGTGTGTTACACAGGTCTCTCTTTATTCACAGTCTATTCTCCGCCCTATGAAAATGAAATCCAACGTTATTACGCTACGTGAGTGTGTGTGTGTGTGTGCGAAACAGAAAAAAATTCGACAAATAATCTTATGCGTGATCTTTTTACAAAAAAAATTTTCTCTCTTTCCAGGCACATTAAAAGTAAACACGAACACGATGCAGCACAACGTCAAATGAATTTGACTAGAGCCAATTACAACGGTCACAAATTAACGAACGTTAGCCACATTCGTACGTTCGGCGGAATAAAACCTTCGTCTGTCGTATTGGCCGCATCGGCGGTCAATAAATGGCGAAGAAAAAGGAGGAGCGGATATTTGTTCGGACCGCCGTTGAGACAAAAATACGACGTCGATAAAAAAAGATCCATCAAAACTCAATCAAAATCCGACATATCGTTACGGAGTACGAATAACAACGTCGCACCCGCATCCTCGAACAAAACGAAACTGGAAAGAAAAACGATAAACGATAATGATAAAAAATTAGATGAAAAAACCGACGAGGACGAGTCGTCGTCGTCGTCGCCGTCGCCGGGAGCGGGGGCCCCGAATCAATCCCAATGTAAAAACAATACGAACAAAACGATCAAGAGAACTCGGGACAAACCCGATAAGTTAAAATTGAACGGTAATAACGATCCCCCCGTCAAAGACATTAAATTTAAATCAACGATAAAAGCGACGTGTTCGGACAATTCGAAAATATTCATCGAAATTGAAAATTTAATAACGAACGATAAGCAGGGTAAAAAGAAAAGGATGGAAGGTTTGCCTCTCAGCAAGGAAAAAAGGCATACGAAATCGAGAATAGTGGATTTTAAGGGTCCCTCAATGTGCGAAAAACAGAAAAAAGTTTTGTTTAAAAATAACGAACACGTAAAAAAAATTGTTTTGCCCTTTAATAAAACCATCGCGGCATCGAAGGGATTCAAAAACAGATCGAAAAATCAACCCTCCGCACTGTGGGGCAACGGAAAAGATTGGCAGGCTCCCGTTAAACGCGAGGGAAACTGGGAACGAATATATCCCCTCAACAATTTCAATAATTTCAATCAGACCTACGAAGAAGATTATCTGGGTAATAAATTCGCCATTGGCGACAAACAAATTAAATTTGTCGTTCACCACATCACGAATTTCATTAAATACTCGAAACAAATTTACTATAAGGATATTGACGCCAGCGAAGAAGAATTAAATGCTCAGCTAATGAGTCACATGGGTATGAACGGTAATGTTTGGCTCCCCAATAAATAAATAAATAAATCACGGAAATTTTCAAGCCCTTCACTCACTCACAACGTTCATTCTCTTTACTGTGTCACGCACATACATACATACAAACAAACAAACAAACAAACAAAAACAAACAAACGACGGGCGAACGGGTGTGCATCATCGAAAAATTATCCAAATTTATCTTTTCTTTCGAACCTACTTATCAACTTTTTGTCCAACATACGTATATACAATGGGATGATGAGTTTTCCCGGGACTCGAAAATCCGCCAAATCACGATCCTCTTTAAAATAAACAATCAAAAAAAAAAAAAACAACAAAATTCGGTTGATTATGTTACGAAGTGCTGTCATCGTGATTGATTGATTTTTTTTTTTTTTTTTTTTTTTTTAAATAGAAAAATAATAATAATAATAAAAACAAACTTTTTGGAAAATTTTTCGTGAAGTCGAAAATCGAATCGAATCGAATTGTTGTTGTCTTTGACTAAAAAAATCTTATCAAACGAAATCAATTGGTTTTATGCTGTCGATGTTATCGTACTAGAAAAAAAAAAAAAATAATGAAAAAATAAATAAATCAATAAATCGTGATTCGCAAAGTTGCGACAACTGTCGAGAAAAAAAAAAAAAAAAAAAAAAAACTTGTTCATCATTTCCTACTCACCATTTCCGGATTCGAATCGCAAAAAACTTTTAATAAATTTTCCGGCAAACCACATTCTCCTAAATTTTCAATAAAAAAAACTGACGATGTTTTTTTGAGTTCATCTGAAAAACAAAAAAATTAAAAATTAAAATAATAATAATAATATCTAAATTTTATATATTTGAATGATTTTAAACAAAATAAATAAATAAAAAATTTATAAAAATTTTATTTTATTTTTTATTTTTACCTGTGTCTTGACACAATTTTGAAGTTTGCGTGAATCCAGACATTTGTTTAAAAGACGATACGGATATGGAATATTGAATTTTATCGCTATTTAATAAATTCGCCATTTGTCTCAATCCGTGAGGCAAAACGGGTCCGTCAACTTGTATCGAATGAAAAACATTCCCGTCAACTTGCACCATCGAATCCCGAATCTGATAAAATAAATTTTTTTTTTTTTTGTAATGCAGTCGTGAAAATTAACGTTTACACCCTAAATCTCTTGTATCGCGAGCGATAAACCTTTTGTAAAAAAAAAAAAAAAAAAATAAAAGTTAATAATTAACCTTGCAAGATTTAAGGGTACCGTGTAAAAATCCAGTGGGAGCAAGTAGCGTCGGTGGAATACCCGTATACGGCCCTGTATTTGCTATGCAACTTTTACAATTAACCAAAACGTTAAAAAACGATTGAATTTCCATTCCTTGCACGAGTACCAACGATTCGTCAGAACCGTCAATTAATCTCTCCTTAGCATGATCTATGCTTTTCTAAAACACAAAAAAAAGAAACATGGTTGCTTACGTTCGGGTAAAAAGTGTAAATAAATAAACGTTAACAATTACTACCTGTGACTTGGTAAGTATTTTAATTTGTTGAGCATCAACCTCTAACGATTCGAGCCAGTCTTCGTCTCCGGAAAGCTCTTCGTTTTCATTTATCGTTATACTTTCCAAATTATTTTTATTTTCTCCGACACTTTTTCTTTTTTTTAATGGCATCGTATATGTTATACCTACAATTTAAACTTTACTTAAGCTATACGATTTCAAAAAAAAATTACGATTACAAATTGATTTTTCCTCCTGACCTTCGTCATCTAATAATTTTCTAAATCCTCTTGTTGTGGGAGTTATCATTGCGTGAATTTCTGGAATTCCTGCCATACCGGCTGCTCGAAACAAGCAGTAAAAATGATTTGCAATCACATAAAAATAAGGACACTTGTTGACTCGAACAAGCTGAAAATATATATTAATAAGTTAATTTATTTATTATAAAAATAAAAAAAATACACACAAATCATGTACTGAACCTGATACAAAGATTTAAATGCACTCGTCCATTCTGTGATGAGAGATTGAGTCATCGAAAGTTGTGCTGATAATAAATTCGAACTGAAAATAAAATGTTTTCATTATGTATAAATAATTTAAAGGATTTGAACAAACACATTAAATACATTTAACACATTTAAAATTACTTATAAACTTTTACACTTACTTGACTTTTTCATAACTGATCCTCGGAAATAAAGATAACCAAGGTATGTTAGGATGCTGCCAGTATAAGCAACACTGATGAAATTTAGCATTATTGGTAACATCAACTTGAGTATTTCTTCCCAAAATTTTTTCACTATCGCATGCATCAAGACATCTAATAAAACTTTAAAATTAAAACTGCATTAGCAAAATAAATTGTGGAAAATTTTTTCTTTTTAATATTAATTTACATTTTTATTATTAAAAATAAACTAACCCAGTTATGCTGCAAGCCTCTTCGCATGTTTTTAATGATGCACTACAGGAAAAAGATTTTGGCGACATGATTCTAAGTTTATTTTTTAATGACCAATCTATCGGCATGGCTAATCCGTCTTTTTGAATTTTAATGGCCTGCTTCAAATTTCCAGGATCTTTTCTAACTTGCTGATAAAACACATAAATTTTACTTTTAAGTTTAATTTTTTTTTTTTTTTTAGATGATTGAATACTACATACCTTATTTTGATTTAAATGCTGAAGAATGTTGGCAAATGAATTTGGTATTTCGCTTGAAGGTTTTTTCTCAGTGTTATTCAATAACATAAAAATTGTCGAATCATTCGAAATGTCAGTTTCTATTCCGCTTTCATCGGTTGTATCTCCAATTTTGCCAGATGGTTTATTTTCTATCCTTTTAAATTATTTATATTTGTTAATAATAATAATAACAACAGGCATTAAAATAATTTATTTATATGTACCTGGCTGCAAATGGATTTCTTCTTTTAGGTAATGGATAATCAAAACTATCTTCACTATTTGAACTATATGAAAACATTCCAGAAATGTGATCATTACCATTCATTCTAGAGCTCAAAGCTCTTTTCTTTTGTTTGAGTTTATAATATTTCATTACTTCGTCAGGTCTCTTCCATTTTGGTGAAGATTCTTCTAATATGCTATTATCATCCATATTTTATTTTATGAGAAATAATTCAATTATAAAATATTTAAGGCCAGCCTTAATTAAAATACACTTTTAAAATGAATTAACATGTTTCTCTTATTTTACAAAAAAATAAATGCCTTAATTTGTTAAATAATAATAAAACATTATAAAAAAAAAAAAAAATCTTAAAATATACTCGGTCATGACAAGCCAAGCATTGTACTAGAGAAAGTGAGTGGCAAAAATCCGTTAAAAACTGTTATTTTAAATTTTTTTTTTTTTATACGACCTTACAATTAATTATAAAACATTACACGAGTTAAAAAATATCATTTTGTTTTTTTCTAAAACTTAAAAACTACGATTCGATTAATACAATTATTAATAAAATTTTTTAATTAACTTAAAAATACTTGTTACATTAATTTTAAAAAAAAAAATTATGCAATTTTATCACAGCCTTCTATAATAATTGTGAAAATGCGCGTGTTAAACTCTATGGCAAATTTTCACAGAATAATAATAATACGCGCCCTTGTCGAATATTTTTTACAACGGTTTTTTTTTTTTTTTTTCAAATATTATTATAAAAAATTCATGTGAAATGCATTTATCATTTACATTTTGATTAAAAACTAATAATAATAATAATTCGGAAGTAATTTATTATTTATCCATTTCGAATCTTTTTCTTTAATTCCTTCCTCATTAAAAATAATTATTTTACATAATTTAAAATTGCATTCATAAAAAATAAAAAATTAATTAATTAATTATTGATCCGTAAAATCGATTTTTGTTCACTTACAATCACTTTTACTGGTATATTTAAATAATTACATAAAAATCTAAACTAAATTACGTCACAGTGTTTATTGACCACCATTACTTTACTCCAGTTTTTTTTTTAATAGTTTAAATAACTTTTATTTTTAGATAATCATTTTATATAACATTAATTTAACAACAAAATAATCAATAAACTGACCATGGTTAAATACATCAAATCTCATTAAAACATTTTTATTGATGATTATCCATATTAATCAAGCAATTAATGTGTCCTTCCATTAACAGGAGTCATATCAACAACAAAATGGTGGAATTTATAAAACAAATTTATGATTACATCAAATGTTTGTCTTTTTCAAAACAAAAGTTACAATTACAAGTATAAACACATGCAGACATTTTAAACTGTTGTAAAACAATAAACACCATTCAACTTATGATAGTTACTTAAGTTAAATAACAGCTGAAAAAAAATTCCTTCCCCCCCCTTTTTCTTTGTTTAAATAATGTTATAATGAAACCAATAAAAAAATTAATAATATATTTTGCTTGTAAAAATAACCACATTGATTTAAGTATACCAATGTTACATTCATTGTGGTTAAAAAAAAAAAAAAAAAAAAGTAATTATTAAATGTTTATATGATCAAAAGTAAATATACACATGAAAAGTTTGTATAAATAAGTGAGAAAAATTTCAATTGATATCAGTTTGTAATAGAAAATCATATAAAAACTTTGTAATATTTAAAATTAATTTTAAAATTTCAATTTAAAAAAAAAAAAAAATATGAAAAAATGTTTGGTGAGTTATATCAATTATTTTTTTTTTTTACACATTTATCCATAATTAATAATTTAAGAATTATATAGAATTATAATCAAAATATACAAAATTATTATTATTATTTTTTTTTTCAGTTTTCATTTGTTTTTTATTTAAACATAATTTTTACTGTTGGAAGCCATGATGATAATCAAAAGGATTATCATGTGAGTAAATCATTAATAACTAATTTAACTTATGAAAATGTAAAAACTTTTACCTTTTTTGGTTTTTTTTCCCTCTTAGGATCATCCCAAATACGAATTCGAATATGAAGTTCACGATACCCATACGCAGGATGACAAAAAACAATGGGAAACGAGAGATGGAGACGCCATCAAAGGTTCCTACAGGTATTTTCACTACACTTTGTTTTAAACTTTAATTTCGTTTTATTTCCATACCTTTTTTCTTTAGCTTAATACAACCGGATGGAAGAATAAGAATCGTTACTTATAGTGCCGATAGTAAAAACGGATTTCAAGCCGAAGTTAAATTTGTAGGAGAAGCCCAACATCCAACCGAAAATTTCAAATTCGGAAAAGAAGGACAATCGTCTGCTGTTCCAAAATTAATAGAAAGCGGTGCATTTCAAAACGCGCCAATTCCAATTAATCCAATGCAATACGTTCCTGTACCTTATACTTATGGATACACAATATACCATACATCCATTAAACAATATCCGATTGAAAATTCTGGTGTTGGTTTGGGTTATACCCTCGTACCTGTACCTGACTTGAATAGTGGAAATATTGAAAGAGAAATTCAACAATCACCAAATGGTGAACTTATATCAAAAACATAAATCGTTTGTAAATTTGTAGATAAAAAAAAATCAAATCAATGTTGTTATTTATAATAAATTATTTTTTTTTAAAAATTGGCTTAATTTATAGTTTTCAATTTTTTTTTTTTTTTTTTTTCCCTCTTGTCAATAAATTAAACGACAAAGTTTCCATTTATATAAATTTAACTTGGAAAAAGTGTCATTGTATCATTTTGCAAAACTTTTCGAAAAGTGCAAAACACTTTAAATAATACAGAAAATTTTCAATAAAGTTTTAATGTGATTTTAAAAAAGTCAAATAAATTGATAAAACCAACTGAAAATCAATTCTGTAATGATAAAACAATTTAAATTTTTTAAAAATTTTATTTCATGGTTTTAAATTTATTCGTTTTACGCTTAAATATTAAATATCAAGTTGATTACTATTATTATCGAAAATTATTTCTTCTGCTAGAAAATTTTACTAAATAAAAATTAAATCTTGATAGTTTCACTTCACTTTGTTTAGCAGATACATATCCTATTAAAAAAAAGTTTTCGAAAATTTAAACAAATAAATGTTTCGATTTTATAACAAAAAAAAAATTATTTTAGGTTTTTGCCTTTTATTTTAGTAATTGTTTCAAACCTGCATTTCTACAATTTTGTTCTGAGTCATTAAAAGAAAATAAACTTGTTAAAAATAATTCACACCATGTCTTTTTTTTTTTTGCAAATCAAAATTTAATTACAAAATTAGTAAAATAATTGAGTTTCGATTAATATTTTGCTAATCATTTAATTGTAATTTTAAAAGATAATGTGTGATTAATCTAAATATAAAAATTACTTTTAAAAACTTCTTTTTTTTGTTGTAAATAATCTTTTTGCATTTTAGAACTATAGTGTTAGCATGAATTTATTTAATTGACAATAAATTTTTTAAAAAAAATGAAAAACTTCTTAAATGTATGAATTGATATTCGTTTAAATTTTGAATTTTTCCAAGTGAAAAAAAAATTAAATTAAATAAAAAATTTACCATTTACTGCAAATTTAATCAAATATAATATTATACAATAATAAAAATATAATTATTTGATTTGTTATTTGTAAAATTAAAAAAAAAAAAAATACCCAAATGTTAATCAGACATGTTTAAAATGTATATTTAAAATGTATTTTTTTACATAAATTAAATAAAATTTCAATATAAAACGAATATAATATAAAATTTTTATTTATAATTAATAGTTTTAACATTGATTTATTACCTTCGATTAATATTAATCAGTTTAAAACGGTTAAAAAAATTTTAATTGACATATCGTTAGAAATAATGTCTGTTGAAATGTAACAAATCGTAAAGTTATAGAGCTCAATTATAGAAACAAAGGAAAATTTTTTTGTTAGTGCCACTCTCAAAGGAATAAAACGATGAAGATCGTAGCATTCGGCATTTTAAATGAGGTAAGTTGACAAATATTATTCTCGTAATTTGATATTGTTGGGGTTTTAAATTGATTAAATTATGTTTAAATAATTATTGCAAGGTTTTAAGTTTTAAATATCGAATTATTAATGGATAAAAAATTTGAATAAATATATCGAATACTAATTGAAATATCGATCTTTCAGAACACAGCTCAGAAAAGTTTGTTTACGTTTGCTTGTTCTTGTTGCAAGTAAATATCGTTTGTGCTTATTTTTAAAATAATATTCAAAATTAAATTTTAAACTTTTTCTTTTTCTTTATTTTTTTTTTTTTTTTATATTAAAAAACCGTTAATTATTAATTTAATTAATAAAAAAAAACATCATTATAAACTTATTTATTATATAAATAAATTTTTTAAAAATTATTAAATGATATTAAAGAGTATAACAAAATTTAGTTCAAATAACAGAACTAATAAAAAAATAATAATAAATTTTTTTTAAAAAAAAAATGTAAATTGATTGTTTTATTATTATTATTATTATTATTTATGCCAAAACAATTATTTTGTTTTTTTTAAATAAATAAATAAATTAATATTTTTACACATATTAAAATTGTTATTATTATTATATTCGGGTGAGTTTTTTTAAAATTTAAATTATGTTGTTTTTGTTGTTGTAAAAAAATTTTTTTTTTTTTTTATTATAATTAATATTATTTAATTGATTTTAAATTTTCAGATAATGTTACATTAGAGTATTTTATAATGTATGCTAAAGGTAAAGGTTCATCAGTTCCTTCTGATGCACAAGCTGGAGAAAAATTAGCTTTGTATGTCTATGAATATTTATTGCATGTCGGTGCACAAAAAGCAGCTCAGACGTTTTTATCGGAAATTAGGTGGGAAAAAAATATCACATTAGGTGAACCTCCCGGGTTTTTACATTCCTGGTGAGTAATATGTTTAATTATTTAAATACCATTTTCAACACATTTGTTTACAATAAATCAAGGTTACAAATATTTACAAGATAGACTTTTAAATAAATTGAAAAAAGAAAAAAAAATTTTTTTTTTCTTACAGCTAATTGTGATATCGACGTTTTATTATCATTAAATTTCATTCATCATTTCCTGATATTATTTTTATGTAATAATTGTAATTAAATTGTTTGTCTTTTGTTGTACAATAATCTAAGCATAATGATTTTTGTTTTTATCAAATTTTTTTTTTTAACGATTCAAGTTCTTTTGTTGTGATTTTCAAAATGTATAAAATTAATTGATTGATCGGCCAACAGGTGGGGTGTTTTCTGGGACCTATATTGTGCAGCACCCGAGCGTCGAGATACATGTGAACATTCAAGCGAAGCTAAAGCTTTTCACGATTATGGATTTGTTAATTCTGGTTATGGAGTGAATGGTGGTTTAGCACCCAGCCCTCTTGGTCAAATGCCACCAAATGATGGTATGGCAGGTTGGTTATTGTTAGGATGAAAATTGTGATTAGTTTTACTCTGATTAAAGCTTCGATTTTTACTCGAGAATGTTAAAGATTTGGAATAAAATGTTAAAATTTTTTTTAGGTGGTCCAGTACCTCCAGGTTTTTTCCCTAACAGCACAATGAGACCATCCCCACCCACACAACAACAAAGTCCTCATCCCCAACATGGACAAATGATGCCTGGACAACCTTTCATGGGGCCTAGGTATCCGACAGGGCCAAGAGGAGGGCCAGGCGTTAGAATGCCAATGGGTAGTGATTTTAATGGTCCTACAATGTCAAACAACTTAGATCCAACTAGGCAAGGGCCGCCAGGCATGTCAACAATGGGTAAGTTATTTACAAAAAAAAAAAAAAGAAAAGAAGAAGAAGAAGAAGAAGTAGAAAGAAAAACGTTAGATAATGGTCATGTTATTTTATCGATTAGGAAATCCTCGAATGAATCCGCCCCGAGGACCAGGAATGGGTACGATGGGACCCGGATCATACGGACCGGGAATGAGAGGACCTCCGCCAGGAAACAGTATGGGTCTAGGTGGACCAGGTGGCCCCCCTCAAGGGCCCGGTGGACCCGGAATGCCTCCATTTTCAATGGCGGGACCTGGTCCCGGAGGTAGACCGCAATGGACGCCAAACACTTGCTCTTCTATGACTTATTCCAGTTCATCTCCAGGTAATTACGTTGTTCATCCAGGATCTACAGGCCCACCTGGTCCAGGTAACTGACTTATAAATATCTGTAGTTAAGAAGTGACAGGCACACGCGCGATAGGAGTAGACAACCATTGTATTACATAATCTCCAGGTGTAGAAAATTAAAATTAAATTTTTTAGGTACTCCAATCATGCCAAGCCCGCAAGACTCATCGAACAGCGGAAACGAGAACATGTATACTTTAATGAAATCAGTTCCAGGAGGGACCATGCCGGGAGATTTCTCAATGGGAGGTGACCCCGATCCAATAGGACCCAATACGATGGGCCCCATCGGACCCAACACCATGGGACCCGTTATGAACGAAGGATTGGATGGAATGAAAAATTCGCCAGTAGATGGCGGCCCTGGTAAATGATGAATTGAAATAATAATAATAAAAAAAACACGTGTATTTACGAACACGTGCATACAACTATTTTTTTTTTTTTTTTGTGCACAGGAACTCCGAGAGACGATTCCGGGTCCGGAATGGGTGATTACAACTTGGGAAGTTTTGGCGGACCCGGTGAAAACGACCAAAACGAATCAGCCGCCATTTTAAAAATAAAAGAAAGCATGCAAAAGGAAGCGAAAAGATTTGAAAAGGATTCGGACCATCCAGATTATTTCATGTCGTAGATGTCTGAATTAGAAACTAATTTATATTACCCTATGATAGAGAAACATCAAAAACGGAAACAGGTTTTTTTTTTTTTTTTTTAATCATAAAACTATAAAAGTATTTTCGAATCTGTAGCCACGAAAAATATTTTATTTATTTATATCGAGAATTTATTTATTTATTTTTTATTTTTTTTTTTTTTGGCGCGCCGACGTTTTAGTTTTTTATTATTATTATTATTATCATTATTATTTTAAAATGACGACCGAACGATTTTTTTTTTTTATTAATTTTTTTTTTTATTTCCACGACTCGAGTAAATATTAAAAAATATTTTTCACGTAGCTACAAATTATTTAGATGTATAAAATTAGTGATCGGATCCTTTTTTATTATTATTATTATTATTATTATTATTTATTTTTTAATTGAGTGTCAAGCCCTAACAGGTCATACATACATATTTATTATTATTATTATTATTATTGTTATTATTTCTTAATCAATCAATCAATCAATCATGTCGCAATTTTACAGTATTATTTTGACAATTTTTTTTTTTTTTTTTTTTTTTCTCGACAGTTTTTCACTTCCTGTTTGCCTGATAGTTTTTTTAACGTTTTTTTTTATTTTTTATCCGTATATATATATATATATATATATATATATATATATATATATATATATATATATATATATATATATATATATATATTATAATATAAATGTATATGAAAAAAAAAATATATTGTGCAATGAAATTAAGCCGGATATGAAATTGTACAGGACTAAAAAAAAAAAAAAATCGTGGTTAGGGGAGAGGAGGAGAGGGGGGAAAAGCAAAGGGGAAAAGGTGTAATGGAATTTTAGTTTTTTATATATATATATGAATCGATAAGGGCGAGTAGGAGGAGAAGGAGGAGGAGGGGAAACGAATAAATTATAATATATATATATATATATTTTAACTTATTATTATTATTATTAATTTTTAAATTTTAAATACGTTTTATTATTATTATTATTATTGTATTTGTATTGTTTTTTTTTTATGATGATGATGATGATGATGAATCTGTCTGATATGATAAATGTTATCACTTTTACAATTATGACTACTGCTGTTGGTGCTACTACTAGGGGTATTACTACTACTACTGGTACTACTACTACTACTGCTACTGGTACTACTACTTTCTTTTGGAAACTCTTTTCGAATCAGACGAAATTTTATTTATTTAAAAAAAAAAAAAAAAAAAAGAAAGAAAGAAAATGGACGCCGCTATAGGATTTTGTTTTTTTTTTTTTTTTTCTGACTGTTTGATCGATCGATTTTTCGTTCCTTTCCAACTGGGGGGGAGGGGGAAAATGTGGGAGTTACAAAAAAAAAGGAAAATATTTAAATTGTTGGGGGGTTTTTATTTTTGATATGATTTTAACGATAGCCCTAGTTGTTATATTGGTGATAGTGGGGATGTACTTTTACGTTTTATATTTAATTTATTCTGGTGCCGTACCAATGTAATGAAAGTAAACAAAAAAAATTGTTTTTTTTTTTTAAATTACGATGACGATGATGATGATGATGACGATGAGGATGACGATGATGATGATGATTATTATTATTATTATTTTCACATTTGAAAACGATTGGATTCCATGATGATGATGATGATGATGATGATGAGTATATGACGAAATTTTCCCAGCATTTATTCGAGGTTATTCATTCTACCCGATTCCTCATGAGAAAAAAAAGTGCTCGAATGTCGGTTTATTATTATTATTATTATTATTACTACATTATCATTATTTGTATTATTATTATATATATTAGTGAATTCTATTGAACGTTGAGGTTTTTTTTCTCTCACTCTCTCTCTCTCTCTCTCACTCACTCTTATTATATATAAGTTGGTGATATTATGGAATTTTATATTTATAAATTGATTGTAAAATTTGCAATAGGGACAGATCATTTATATAATTTATTATTATTATTATTATTATTATTATCATTATTAGGGATAGTTATTTATTTAATAATTTATGCGAATATGAGCAAAAAAAAAAAAGAAAAAATTGACGTTTGTAATTTATGTAAGAATATTATTATTATCATTATTTTGTTTTTGCTGCCATTTTTTATTTATTTTAGCGAGTTACGTATCGTAATATTTGTCAAATGCAGAATTTCGTAAGTTGACGTCATGACTTTGACGTCAATGATGATGTCATTAATCAAAAAAAAAAAAAAAAATTAAATGTCATTGCTGCCGTCTAAACACTCGGAGACGACAACGCGAAAAGAAAAAAAAAAAAGAATCAAACGTAAGTCATGCAAGAAAATAATAATAATAATTAATAATAATAATAATAATATTAATAATGATAATAATAATAATGATAATTGTTAACGATGTTTTGCATCGACGACAAAAACAACTAAGACGGCAGCAAAAACAATCCGAAAAAAATATTTTAAAAAAAATTTAGAAAATGTTTATAATAATGATAATAATAATAAAAAATGGTAGATGAAAAAAAAAATTAATTAATTAATGAATAATAATAATAATAATAATAATAATAATAATAATAATAATAATAATAATAATAATAATAATAATAATAATAATAATAATAATAGTAATAATAATAATATTTTCATTGTAAATAATTTTAATAAATATGAAAGAGAAAAAAAATAAACTTTTTAAAGTGGAAAACTGTAACACAAACACAAAACACACACATACACGTACAAACAAACAAACAAACACACACATACACATAAAAACAAACACACTTATACACATACAAAAAAACAAACAAACAAATAAATACACATACAAACAAACAAACACATAGTAAATAGAAACAAATATACTGAAATTAAGGGTTATTTTATATTATTATTATTATTGTTTAAAAATGTACAACATGACTCAATGTGATCTTATTATCATTATTATCATTATCATTACTATTATTATTATTATGAATAATTTTTTTAATAAATAAATAAAAGGAAATAAATAAATAAATAAAAATGATGTCTTCATACACACACACACACACTCACTTTTAGAAAAAAGTTAGAATTATTACATAAGAATCATAAAAAATGTATATATAGAGATGGGGGGAGGGGGGCTATCACGTATGAACGTTTTTAAATTTTTTATTTAAACAAACAGGAAATGATTAATATTAATAATAATAATAATTGTAATAAAGATATATAAGAAATGATTGGTTTCACCCATGTTTTTAATACTTTTTTTTTTGAATGGACGTAAATTATTATTATGTTTTATGTAAATATAAATAAAAAAATTTTTTTAAAGTAGTAGATATTAATAATCATATATATATATATATAAATATTTCATCGGATACGAAAGGGAAAAACAAACAAACAAACAACAAACAGCAATAGTAACAACAAATTTTCATACACGTTCAAGTGTTTTGTTTTTTTTTTTGATATTTTTTTTACTTTTTTCGATTACGTTTTGTAATTTTTTCCCATTAATTAACGAAAAAAAAGAAAATTAATAATAGATCGATCGATTAATCGATTAATCGAAACAAAAAAAATGGCGCGTTCTATTATTTTTTTAAACTTTTTTAATTCAAATTGAAAAAAGAAAATCGGATGCTGACGTCGCGTTTAAAAAATTTTTATAAAAATTATTATTATTATTATTATAGTTCGTCGCGTTTTTTTAGTATGTCTATTATTATTATCATTATTATTATTATTATTATTTAAGGTTTTCTAAAATACCGATCACTGCCTTCGGATACTTAATTTTTTCAATATGAACGAGTCGTTCGAATTTTTTTTTCCGTTAATTTAAAAAAAAAAAACGCCATATTTGCCAATCGGATTATTTTATAAAAAATCGAATGTTCTAGAAAATAACGAAAGGAAACGAATTCTTGCCGTGAATGATAATGTGAATTAAAAACGCGTTAAAATAAATTTTTTTTTTTTGTTTGTAATGGGAAAAAACAATTTTTAATTTTTTTTTTAAAATTTATTTATTATCATTTGATGGCACGTAATGTATTATTTAATAGAAAATAATAATAATAATAATAATGATGATGATGATGATGATGGTGATGTGATGATGATGATGATGATTATAAAAAAATTGTCAAAATTCATACTATATACATTCTTTACATAAATAATAAATATTAAAAGTATTGAAGTTTTTAATTGTTTTATATTATTTTTAACCTTATTTTTATCCCGAAACTATTTTAAAAAATAAAAATGGATTAATATTCGTTAGTTTTTTGAAAAAACAAAAAAAAAAAAATCAAAAGGGGAAGAATTTTACAAAGTATTCATTAGTTATTCGTGATAAATAAAGTATTTATATTTAAGTCCAAAATTTAGCAAAAAAAATTATAATTACATAATGAATATTAAAATATAATCTGTCTATCTTTCTCATTCTCATAATAAATAATGATTTGTGAAGAAAAATAACGAGGGCGGGGGATGGGAAAAAAGAAAAGTTTTTAAAAAATATTCTTACATACCCATATCATCCGTTAAAACAACCATATAATATTCCATTGTCGTTAAATAATAAATACGTGATTAAAAAATAATTTAAAACTTTACAAACGATAATAATAATGGTTTTTTTAAATAAAAAAAATCACAATACGAATTATATTACTCACTAATAAATGAAAATGAAACAGAAAACAATATAACATACGACCGTTGAAAAACGTTGTCGGCCATTTTTAATAAAATTAGTTATATTTTTAACCGATAGAGTCGCGCGCGGAACTTGAAAAAGAAAACAAAAAAAAAAAAAAATAATTTCCAAAATGAAGAAATGAAAAGAAAAAGAAAAAAAAACGGTCGTTTTATCAATCAATCAATCAATCAATCAATCATTAACTTCTCGAAGATTAAATTTATCCGATCCGGCAACGAGAAGTTCATCAACGTTAAAATCATCCATGTCATCAATGATTGTTGATAACATGTCAAATAATTCGTCACCACCATTACCACCACCACCGACGCCATTACCACCGCCACCTTTGAAACTAATGTCGGATTTAGAATTATCCACCAAACAACAACCACCCTGATTAGACTTGTGTATTTGCATATGACCATCTCCTTTAGATTTCTTATCGATAATGTTCTTGATTGTTGCTTCATTATTTAGTTGTATAACATCTGGGTCTATTTTAAAAAAAGGAATCAAAACAATAAAAAAAAAAAAAAAACATCATCTCCATTTTCTTTCATATATATATATATATATATATATATATATGTATATATATAATCTAAAAACATCCTTTATTAAAAATCAAAATATGGTAAGTTAAACATAATCATCATCAGGTACAATCAATAATATTTCCAATCCATAAAAAATAATAAAAAATCCAATTATTTCTCCACCCCACCCCCACCCACCCCCTAACTATTATTATTATTATCATTTACATAAACTTACCGGCTAGTATAATATGAGAGGAAAGAAGAGATTCGTCAATATCGCAAAGTTCGTTAAAATAATCGGATGAATCCGAAGTGTTGGGTTGATAATTTGAAGGATTGGGATGCAGGGTCCAGGGATGAGGTTCAGGTGATATTAATTGATTTTTAATTACGGTCTGAAAATACAAAAAAATACAGAGAACAAAAAAAAAATACAGAGAACAAAAAAAAAAATACAAACGAAAACAAAAACAAACAAACGAAAAAAAAAATTTTTTCTTTTCTTTTTGTTCCTCCTTTACAATTTTTTGTTATACATCCGGTTTATAATTTTACACAAACTCATCAATTTAAATAATTTACAAAAAAAAAAAAATAATAATAATAATTTTCTCCCTCCATCTTTATTTATTTATTTTCATAGAGAAAGAAAGAGAAAGAGAGAGAGAGAGAGAAAATAAAATTTTCACACACGCGAACGAACGCACGCACACAACAGAAAATTTTACTACACGTTTTTTTTTTTTTTGAATTTAATCAAATCGATTAATCGATCGATCCATCGATCTATCACTCCCATAATCAATTAAATAAAAAACATTTCAATTAATAATAATAACAATAAATATCATTATCATTATCAAGTTTCAAATAAATAAAAATTAAATTAAAAACTAAAATTTAAAACGTTCGGTAATATTTTTTTCACGTGTAAACCACGTGTGAAGGACACGCTCGTCCCTTCCTCACCGTGACAATAATAATAATAATAATAATAATAATAAATACTAAACGAATTTTTAAAATTATTACCGATTAACGTAGTACGTACGTCTTACAAACCAATCCAACTCACGCATACATACACATTTATATATTATTATTATTATTATTATGTAAATTATGGTAACGTTAACCTAATTTATGTACATATACAATATGCTCATATATACGTCACGACACTTTAAATTAAAAATAAATAAATTAAATAAATAAATAAATAAATAAATATGGCTACACGCACTATATATATATATATATATATATATATATATATATATATATATATATATATATATATATATATATGGCACGGATATGAAAAATCTTTTTATATATATATATTATATATTATATATTATACATACTATAATATATTTTGATTAATAATAATAATAATAATAATAATAATATTTACATATCATCGCGTTATTCAATTATACAAAAATATATATTTTATATATATGTGTGTGTATGCGTGTGTGGGTGTGTATCGAAATGTAATCAAATTAATACATAATTTTTTTTTATTAACAATAATGATAATGATAATAATAAATATAATTGGTTATAAATAATAAATAAATAATAATAATAATATTTTAAAGATTTTAATTATCGAGGAAGAATTTTTTTTATATATGTATAAATATATTTATGAATGATAAGGAATTATTATTGATAAGGAAAATTCGTTACCCGTGATTCCAGTTTTTTAATAAATAAATAAATAAATAAATAAATAGTTTTAATTGGCAGTAATTAAATAAATAAATGGAAACCGCCATCATGATAATAAATAACAAATAAATAAATAAATATCTATGTATGTATGATAACGTATTATCGATCGGTTCCATTATTTTTTTTTTTTTGCGTGTAAATAATAATAATAATAATATTTTTTTTAAACAATTTACACGTGTACGCACGCGTGTGTGGTACGTGCGTGTTAAAATAAAAAAAAAAAAATTAGTGGAAGTTAAACATTGTTTATATGTTTGTTGGAAGCAGTTATTGGGAAGTTTTTTTGTTTTATTATTATTATTAAACAGGAAGTAAACGATAGCAACAATTATATAAATACTATTTGAAAGCAAATAAAAAAAAATTATCATATCCATTATGAATTTAACAAATAATAATAATAATAATTTAAATAAATATTCTTAATAATAATGATGATGATGAGAGCATTTTTTCGATGCTGTGTAGTCTCTCACGCTCATGCGTAAAATAATTAATTTTTTTTAAATAATAATAATAATGATTTGTGACTAAAATTTTTGTTAAAATGAGATCAGATACGAATATATATTAAGCTGTTGCCACAATTTTTAATTATTATTATTAAAATTAAGAAAACGTTAAAATCGTACGTTGAATTATCAATGAAGGCACATAAAAAATAAAAATTTTAGTCGTGTTAATAACCTGTCGGCGACGTGGGATTAGTAATATTTACACACAACGTGCGACGATTTTTTATCATAAAGTAAAATTATACGAACGGCAATTAAATTTTTTTTTTTACTGTTTAATCAACGAAATTTTATTTTATAATAATTATTGTATAATTATCGAGGAAATACGTAAAAAGCCGATCGAAAACGGAAATTGATAAACTCGCAACGTCATTGGCTACGATTTCCAACGAGAAATTTTTTGATTGGATGAAAATTTAATAACATTTAATTACAACCAATCAAATTTAATTTTCGATCGTAACGGTTTTAAATTTTAAAAAAAAATTATAATGAATCAAATTTTCATTGTTACCAACTTGATAATCGCACGCACGTCGTGTTTTTTTTTTTTTTTTTTATTTAAATGTGAAATTATTAAATTGATGCGTACTTAACCCAAAACAAAACGATTTATCGAAAATTGTAGCAAACAACTTATTTTTGTACAATTTTATATATATATATATATACCTAAATAAATTAACATAATTATTTTTATAAAATTATTAACTAATAATAAATATATTTTAATAGTCTAACCTCATAAATGGAAACATATTTGTTGAACTAGTCCAAGAATTATAAGAGGGTTGCTGTGTCGGCGTCATCCAACCCTGATTAGACCAATTAGAATTATTATGCCAATTATCATTGTGATCCATCATGTGAAAATTAAACGGTCGAAAATATGGATAATCGTAATTAGAATAATTAGAATAATTATTTCGAACGTAAGGATAACAACCGTTCATCGAAGAAGAAGAATATTCCGAATGTCCAAATGTCCTGTGTTGATTTCCATCGTAAGAATTTGAAAACATTCCATCTTGTCTCAGGTACTGATTTCCACACGGATGATCAACGTTTTGATACATTTGATTTCGAGGCGGCGGTGGTGGTGGTGGAGGACCGTAATAAGACGAAATGGATGATTCGTCTCTATAATGTGGCAATGCTGTTTGTCCACCATAGGGATGAGGGAGGGATGGTGAATAACCGAAGGGGGAACTCGAATACGTTTCTGTTTCACTTTTAATTCCCTGATGTCTATACGTATCACCACTTCTATCATTTTTCATTGTTTTCCTTCCTTTTTTGACACAGCCATTTTTTTTATCAATAACATTATTATCTTCGGAAGAATAAATAAACCTTTTCGAATCCGTATCGTCAATTTTTTTACTCGTTGAAGAATTTTTAACTTTTCGCGATTTTCTAATTAATTTTGTACGGGTTTTTCTCGTTGATGATTGTTCCAAATCATTTTGATGACATGATTCTACATTATTATTGTGGCTTACCTTTTCTGTTTCCGCCGGTGGATTTGTAAAAAAATCATTTCTCGAAAATCGACCGATTTCCGTCGAACCAAACGCCTGATGAAAACCGGGTAATACGTTTTTCCCATGATCCCCAGACTCCATATTTATATTCGTATCAAAATTTTTTTCTCCCGATAGAAAATTGCAGTCTAAAAACATGTCTTCGACGTTTATGTAATTTCCCTGATTGTTGTTATCGAAATTTTCAACAAAGGATTCTCCGTTGTTTTCCGCCATTAAAACATCGCTCACTCCAGGTTTTCTTAAATTTTCCGTTAAACCTGTTTCTTTAGTGGTATGATTTTCAATCGGTTGTGGATGATCGGTTACGTAACCGGAATCAGAATCGTGATTTATTGAAGATTCAACTTCCGTTTTTATTATCGGACTGTTTTCGACAGGTGTACCCTCTGTCACTTTTGAAGAAGAAAAATCCTTTAATAAAAAAAAAAAAAATAAAAACATTAACGACAGGAAAAATTTTTATATTCACAGGTTTATACCATGACAATACCTTACCTTAACGCAATTTTCAACGGATCTCTCGCATGATCCAACATTTGAAAAGACATTTGTTAGTTCTTGAAGTTGTGAAAGTGGTTCTTTACTATTTTCCGGTTCGTTATTGTTATCAAAAGGAGACCTGCACGTGTTTATAACCATTGATTTAACTTCCGGTGGAGGTAAATTCATTGCCGGATGATAAATTTGATTAGAATAATTTGAACTCGTATTGGGACCTTTTCCATAGCAATCGCCCATCTGTGGCCCGAAATAGGGCACTGAAAAAAAAAAAAATTTTTTATCGTTTTTCTTTCCTCTTCCTCCTCCTCCTTCATTTTTTTTTTCCAGTTATTCGTAACGTACCTGGGTTTTGCTTGTATTGACACCAAGAATTTGTCCAGGCAGGAGATTCCATGACTGAATAACCGTCAGCAGCCATTGAAAAAGTCATATTTGACACGTTCTGTTTAAAAAAAAAAAAAAAAAAAATTTTTTATATTCAAAAATCAATAAAGTTAACCCCCCCTCCCCCTTAAAAAAAAAAAAACCTAACGTTCCCCACATTGTTTATCTATCGTGAAAATTATTTAAACAAAAAAAAAATTATTATTATTATTATTAAATTTTTTTTTTAATAACACAAAAATAAATACTCTCGCAACTTTGATATCTTCATAATTTAATTCTATATCGAATAATAATAATAATAATAATAATAATAATAATAATAATAATAATAATAAAAGTTAAACAACATTTTTTCTTTTTTCCTTTATTTAATTTATTTTCGCATCAATCAATGACGTCACATAAGAGAAAACGTTTTTCTTTTTTTTGTTTATTAAATTGATTATTGATTTTTTTCCAATCGATAATTTATGTATATATATATGCATATATTATAAATAAAAAAAAAAAGGAAAATTTTCCTTTTTCCGCTTTCATTCACAATTTAATTATTTGATAATAATAATAATAATAATAATAATAATATTTTCTTAAATCAAAAATTATTCCTTAATTAAAAAATTTTTTCTTTTTCTCTCGTCGCGATCGTTATTATCATCATTATTATTATAATTATCATCATTATGCTCAGATCGCCATTTTTTTTTCGTCTGATATATTATTTTACTTGTAAATAAAATTTTTTTTTGCTTTTAATATCATCCCGAAATTAAAAACAATAAAAAAAAAGCAGAATAAAAAAAAACAAATGATTAAATTATCATTATCATTATCATTATTATTATTATTATTATTATTATTATTATTATTATTATTAAAGTTCGGAATATGTGTAAAAAAGAATTCAAAGAATTTTTTTTTTTAATAAAATAATTTTTTGGCGCCAAAAATTTATTTAATATAAATTTTACGATCTACTGAATATTAACAATAATAATAATAATATAATTCGACGTACAAAAAAAAAAAAAACAAAAAATTATTATTATTATTATTATTATTGTAATTATTACACGTATTATCATCATCATTATCATTATTATTATTATTTGTTCATAAACGTTGAAAAATAGTAAAACAAAAGAAAAGAAAATAAAAAATAAAAAATATATTTTGGCATGTAAAACGAACGAATCGTTGTTTGTTCTACATTTTGAATTGTTCTTTTTTTTTTTTTTAAACGGAAATGACGTCACTAAACGGAAAATAAAAAAAATCTTTAGAAGCGTTATACGATATATATATTGTTATTATTATTATTATTATTATTATTTTTTCATTAGTTTCAATAACGGTGACAATTAAATTTTCAAGAAAAATTTTTCCATTAATTTTCCTTTGGAAAATGGTTAAGATGTTTCTTTACGAAATAGTTACAAGTTTAATTTTGGCGCCAAAATTTTTTCAATAATAATAATAATAATATATTCGAATAATTCAAGCGTAGATTTTTTTTTCTTTTTGAATTTTATTTTATTATTAAGTAAAATTTTTTAACGGAAAAAATGAAAATGGAGGAAACGCATTATTACGTATGCGAAAAAAAAAGAAAATTTTTAACGGAAAATTTTTTTTCTAAACGTCGTCATTCGTTCAGCATCCGAGGGAAACTTTTCCAAAAAAAAAATTTATTATTATTATTATTTTTTAACAATGAAAAGAATAAAATAAACTTGAATATTATTTTTTATGAAATTGTAAATATAAAAATTGTTTTATTTCCTTTTTCCTTTTCTTTATTCGGGATATAAGGAAAAACCGGGAAAAACTCACGATTTGAAAAACTCGAGTGTGAGAACAAAAATTTTTTTTTTCCTTTTTTTTCATTCCTTTGATCATAACTCACTAACAAAAAAAAAAAGGAAGAAAAAAAGGAAAAAAAAAAGGTTCGTCGTAACGAGTGAAAAAATTTTTTTTTTGTGTAAAAAAAAAAAAAAAATTTTCCTCTCTCTCTCTCTCTCTCTCTTTCTCCATTTTAGACCGAATAGCGAGAAATGCCCCAAATTACCATGGCAACAGGCGTCCGCGATCTCGTTTCCATGGCAACAATAAAAATCGTTAGAAAAACCTAACCCTACAATCGAAAAGAATGTGATAAACAGTTCGACTAACATTTCTTTTTTATTTTTATTGATTTCGTTATAACTATTGGTAACTCAAATCGACCATGTTTTCATCGTACCTGAAAAAAATCCGTTTTTCCAACTTTTTTTAAAAAAATTTTAATCTATCCATCGATACCTGAATTTCGATTCGTTATTACGTCACAGGTGTTAAAAAATTATTTTCGTTCGAACGTAACCTTTCGAAACGTGGGTTAGTCCAACAAACAAACAAACTCTTCTAATTAATTGATTATTTTCTCTCATTTAATTTTCGAAATTTGTGTGACGTCATAATTTTTTTACGTAAGCGTTTGAAATTTAAAACAAAAAATGTCGTCAACCACCCACGATATATCGATTCGTGGCCATTTTTTCCCCTACCCCCATCCCCCTGTCTAACAAAAAAGAAAAGCGAAAGAAAATTCATCGATCGATATTAAAATCGTTAATTAAAGAGTCAACGCGTCAAATAAAAAAAAATAAACTAACATCATTTTATTACTTAAAAAAAAAAAAAACTAGTTTTTCAAATCACGAGGAAATCAAAAAAAAAAAGGAAAATTTTCCTTTGTAAACAAAAAGGAAAAAAGGAAAAGAAAAAGGGAAATTTTGACGGTTTTTCCTTAATTACAAAGCTTTGTTGATGAGTGGTTTGGCGCCCAGAAGACGACACAGCTTGTTGCATTGAGTCCACGTGCTTTTACAAAGATTTTCTCAAAAAAAAATTTACAAGCGCATGCTCCCCAATAATAGGGGGGGCAAGGAACGGGAGGGGGGGTTCCATCAATATGACGTATGTACTGGGCATGTGTATATGCATTGCTGGTTATAAAAAAAAATCTCGCTCACCTTTTAAACTTTTTTTTTTTACATGGGAAATTTTTTTTTTTTTTTTTTTTATTTACTTTTTTTTCAATATCTGACAAGTTTTATCTCGGTAGTAGTAGTAGTGGGGAGAAGAGGGGGAGAGAGAGAGAGAGAAAACTTTTCTGATCACAACGGAAATATTCTAAAAAGCAAGTCAATAAAAACCGGTAGAGAGTGAAATCGATAGATGAAGCTCGCTTAAAACCTTTTTTTTTTTTTTTTAATATTATTTTACAGATAAAAAAAAAAAACATGGAGAGAGAGGGAGAGAGAGAGAGAGGGGGAGAGAGAGAGAGAGAGAAAATTTATATATAAAAGATATTACGTATATAAAATTCTCACATTTAACGCCGCGTTCGATTTTTTTTTTTTAATTAGGTCAATACGTTATAAATAACCGATAATCGATACCGTCATCATATCCCCCCCCCCTAAATAATAATAATAATATTAATTGATTACTATTACTTACTGCCATGGGTAATAATTTACGATTTTGATTAATTTGAGGAGACCAATTTTCATTTGATTTACCATTGTAAAAACGATTATCATTCGTTGCATTTTTTCCTTTGTCTTTCCAACAATCACGTAGTGCCTTACGGAGGCGAGCTTCTTTCGGATTGTAAACATAATCTAAACAAAAACAAACAAACAAAAAATTACTTTAAAAATTACTCACTCACCCTCCGGCCCCCCACAAAAAAATTATTATTATTTTTAAAATTTTCTAATGTTTAAAAATGGCGATTTTTATTATGCGAAAAGGATTTTTAACAAAAAAAAAAAAGGGGGGGAGGGAACAAATGAATTTTTTAATTTTTTAACGTGGGGGTGGAGAGGCGATGGGGAGGTAGGGGGGCGTGGCGATGAGGATTTAAATTATTGAACCTTAAAAAAAAATGAAACGGGTTAACAAAAGAGCCGTGAAGTAAATTAAAAATTATAAATTAAGGAAAAGTTGAATTAATAATTAATTAATTTTTTTTTTTTTTTTTTTTTTTTTTTGTTTGAAATTTCAACGGTATTAAATAATAATTAAGTTGGGTACAATGTTTTAGTTTTCTTAATAATTCCCGTAACCATTTTCTGTAAAAATTAATATTATTCTCATGGGAAATCATTTATTAAACTTAAACCCAACTTTTCCGGGGAAAAAAGTACGTATATAAACATTACGTTAGTTTTTTTTTTTTAATTAAATTAACCTTATCTGGTTAAGGGAAAATTTTTCTTTTTGGCGCGCGACAACCGCAACAACAACAACAACAACAGCTGATTAAAAATTACAATGTTGGGACTACCTCAAATTATGACGTAGTTTTCAGTACTGTTTTAACTAAAAAAAGAAAAGGTATTGATCTTATTTGTGGGGGGGGAAAGGTTAGCTAACCTATCATCATCGCCTTACGTGATGATAATATTAATAATAATAATAATAATTTTTTAAATGTTGTTTATTTCCCCTCCCTCTCCCTCCTCCCCACACTTTTACTTTTTCGTTAAATGATAATAGAGTTCGATGACCTCATTAAAAAAAAAATTTACAAAAAGGGTATTTAAAAAAAAAAAACAAAAAAAATGGGGAGATTTGTAAAAAATTTATTACGTCACAATTTTTTTTCTTTTTTTTTCTGGAAAATTCCCTGCAATCAATTACGTTTTCCCTTTTTTATCGTAATATCATTTTTTTTTTTTTTTTTAATATGAAACTTTTAATATATAAATAAAAAAAAATATTGATTAAATAAACAAAAACTTTTTTTTTTTGTTTTTGTTTTTAAATTCAATTTGATAAATTAATAATATTAAAAAAAAATATTATTATTATTATTATTATTAACATTAATTAAAAAAAAAAAATTATTTAACGCACGCAATCCTTGAAATAATTTTTTTTTGTTTGTTTGTTGATATTATTATTATTATTATTATTATTATTCGTGGTAAAAAAAAAAAAAAAAATTATTTGCAATGTTTTTCCAAAAAAAAAAAAATTTTTTATAAAAATTACTCCGCGTTAAAATTCTTTGATTTTATTACGAAAAAAAAATACACGCACACGCACGCACCCACGCACGCACACACACACACACACACATTATTTACGTGACGATTTATTACGTGTGCACGAACATTAAAAAAAAAAAAAAAAAAAAAATTTTCTCTCTCTCTCTCTCTCAACCCTTATGTCGTCCTTAACCGGAAAATTTTCTTCTCGAAACGAATTTAATTAATAAAATTGCATTACTCATTTAATAATAATAATTAATGATAATAATGATAGTAATAATAATAATAATAATAATAATAATGAAAATCACCTGGCCTGATATTAAACACACTTTTTAAATTTTTTTTTTGGTAAAATAAATCAAATTGATTAAAAACCCAAGGACAATAAAAATTTTTTTTTTTCCCACAATGGAAAATTTAACGTATAAATGTGCGTGTGTGTGTGTGTGTGTGTACGCATTATGCGTGATAAATAAATAAAGAAGAAAAAGAAAATCTAAACGGAAAACCGGTAAAAACGATAACGAAAAATTTTCACAATAATCCAACATAAATATTCTATTCGTTCTTCTTTCAATTTATCATCTTAATAATAATAATAATAATAATAATAATAATATTTTTTATAATGTGTGCATACAAACAAAAAAAATAAATAATAATAATAATAATAATGATAAAAATATATTATACTCACTTAGATATTAAATCATTTAATTAAAATAAAAAAAAAGAAAAGTCACTTTTTTTCCCCATCTCTCTCTCTCTCTCTCTCTTTCTCCTTTTCCCTTTCCTCTCTCCCTATTATTATTATTATTTTATTATCAGTCGACGAATTGTTGATAATAATAAAAACGAGATTAAAAAACGAACGAATCGCGAATATGTAAAAAAAAATTTTCTTTCCAACGTGAGTAAAAATTTATTTATTTATATAAATAAAAAAAATCCCGAATTGTTTTTTTTTTTTTTAAACAATAAATAAAAAATATTATTATTATTATTTATCGGTTTTTTTTTTTTTATAAATATTTATCGGGAATCGGAAAAACTCACGTTGAAATCACGGGGAAAGCCGAAATGTCACTGATAACGGACATGGAAAATTCGAGTTTCTGCTCAGACTTGATTTTCCACACGAGTTTCAATCACATTGAAAACTCGAATACTGAAAACGTCCGTTGTAGTCATCGTCGTAGTCGTCGTAGTCGTCGTCGTCGTCGTCGTCGTCTGGCTTGATCGATTTTGAAAACGTTGCGCTTAACTTTACCAATGATTTTTATTGTCTTCCCCGAAAAAAAAAAAAAAAGGAAAAAAAGGAAAAAAAAAAAAAAAAAAAAAAAAGAAAGAAAATTGCCTGAACCGATTTTCGTAAAAGCCTCCAGTAGTCAACCGCCCACATTTTTTACTTAAAAATTGATTTTTTCACTTTTTTTTTTTTTTTTTTTCGGGGGGGACTATAATAAGAAGTGAGAGAGAGAGAAAGAAAGAGAGAGAGAGTAAAAAAAAAACCTTCCGTTAATGCACACGAGAAAAAAAAATAAATAAATAAATAAATAAATAAAAAAAAATAACATCGTTCGATAAACCGAAGGGAAGCCATTTCGACATAACGTTATATGTGATTATTATTATTATCATTATTATTATTATTATTTATACCGCGTTGTAATATTAAAAACATTTTTTTTTTTTTTTTGAAACTTTTAAAAAATTTTCCAGTTTTATCGAAGAGAAAAAAAAAGTAAAACGAGTTCGCCACACACTCAACCGTTATCCTAAACACACTTTTCCGCATCATCATTATTAAAAAAATTTTCCTCTTATAAACAACAACAAACAACTACAAAAACTATAAATTTTTTCTTATGTAAAACTATTCTATTATTATTATTATTATTATTATTATTATTATTATTATTATTATTATTATTATTATTATTATTATTATTTTAATAAATAAAATGTTTTCAAAAATTTAATAAAAGTGTGAAGTGACAAAAATTTTTCCCTCTTTCAAACCAAATTGATAATTAAATAATAAATACGAGTTAATAATAAATACCAACACCACCACCACCACCACCATCAGCACCATCAGTACCCCCCCTCCCCATTAAACTAAACAATTATTATTATTATTTTCCGAGGAGACAACGTTTTTAAAAAACGCGGGTAAAAAACTTTTAAATAAATTATAATAATAATAAATCGAAGAAAATTATAAAATATTTAATCATCATCATCATCATCATGATGAAACGACACATTTTCACTTAGCGGAAAATTTAATTCACCTCCCTCCCTCCCTCCCTCCCCTTCAACAAAAAAGAAAATACATTGAAGATTTATTTAACAAAAAAAAAAAAAAAAAAAAAATTTTTTTATTGCCCTCTCACGAGACTTATTAACTCCTATCATAACTACTACTACTACTACTACTACTACTTATTATTATTATTATTATTAATATTATTATTATTATTACGAGTATTAACTACAATAAAGTTTACAGAAAAAAATGGTATTATAGTAAATGACAATAAGAAAAATGATGGCACGCATAAGGAGGAAAAGTTTAAATGATGATGAAGGAAAACTTTTTAAAGAGGGGGAAAAGTTATGAAAATTATTATTATTATTTTTCCCTCCCCTCCCTACCCCCTTACCTCCCCCTTTTAACGTTAAACGATATTGGTAAATCTATAAAAAAACATATTTTTTCTATCATTCACGGTTTCGACGAATTTTTTTTTTTTTTTTTTAAAAAAAAAAACCAAAACAAAAAAAAGGGAAAAAAAGGGAAAAAAAAGGGAAAAAAAGGGAAGAAAGGAAAAAAAAAATAAAGATGATATTGAGTTCAACAACAAAAAGGTGTTGTTGCAAGCGTGCGTGAAGAAACAGTTAAAAGACGCAAACTCAAACGGAAAAACCAAAAGGCGGCGAATTGCAGACGATTTTGAAAATCAATCCGAAAATATAACACTTTTTTATAAAAAAAATTTCCCCTCCCCCCCCTCCCCAGGATTTTAAAATTTTTTTCGTCGATGATGATAATAATAAATAACCGATGAATGAATGAATGAATGAATGAATTATTCACGCGAAATTAATAATCAAATAATAATAATTTCCCTCCAGGCGATTACTTTTAATATCATTATCATTATCATTATTAATTCTACCGATGATGATGATGATGATGATGATGATTATGGCGTTGGTAAATGTATTATCGTTCCACAAAAACCTTTCCGAATTCCAAAACTCTTATCATCGTTATCAAAACGATTAGTTTTGATTATGTTATATAATAAACGTACCTGGATATTTTATTTTATGTTCGGCATCTGCTTTTCGCGCCATTATAAAATATTCTTCTTTACGTGATTTGTCTAAATTTCTCCACATTTGACCCAAACTGTATGGAAAATACAAAAAAAAAAAAAAAAACACGTGAATTATTTTTCCATTCCTTAAATTTTCCTGGAAGTTTTTCAACCTGAGGAATGTGCAAGAAATTTACCGTACGCTTATATCCTTATTACTTTCGTTGTTAAATTTATGTGCAACTTTTTTTCTCCATTCGTTGGCAAATATCATGAATGCATTGGGTGGCCTTGGAATTTTAGCTTCAGGTTCGTGTACTATAACAGCATGATACTCGTCATTTTCTCTGCAAATGATATTATAATAAGACAAAATGTACAAACGAACAAACAAGGTACGAACTATTGAGTTCACCCAAAACTTTAATAAGACAACTGACGAAACCTCATCATCTGAGACACCCGCACGTATACATCTTGTTATAAAAAACGGTCAAATACCTACATTTTATGCCTTAAATCCGGTGGCAATATACTATTCCTTTTCGCCAACATTTTCAAATTATCATTCATCAAATAAACGGGCCTTTGAGTTCCATTTATGTTAATATTTTTCTGTATCAAATCATGATTTAATTCATCACCACTTGATATTATTTTAAAAGTGTTAAATCCTACAAACAACAAACAACGTAAACGTACAAACAAAAAAAAACAAACTAAAAAAATTGTCAAAGGGATAAGTGAAAGTTATTATTATTATTATTATTATTATTATTTTTTAAACAATTTACGTGTATGAATTTTTTTTTTTTATTTAAAATATTCAATTGCAAAAAAAAAAAAAAAAAAAAATGAAATTTATTGCATTCTGACGTTTTTTTTTTTTTGCAAACGACAACCCTAACCATCGATTTTACTATTAATAATAATAATAATAACAATAATAATAATTGTAATAATAATAATAATAATAATAAATTAAACATAAAATTCATCAAATGATGTTAAATGATGTTATAATGTTCTGCTGCTGTTGTAAGAAATGTGTGCATCAAATTATCAATTTCAAAATAACATCATCATCATCATCATCATCATCATCATCATCTCATGATAGTAATAATAATAATAATAAATTTAAATAAAATATCATTACTGTGTTTATTATAATCTTCATCTGGAAAATCCACTGTTCCTATTGAGTTACTATCAAAGTTATCAGACATGTATAGACCAACTCCTAAAAAGAAAAATTTAAATATTATTATCATTATTATCAATATGTATAATTATAACATAAAAACACAAACCAGTTATTTTGTTTTTAATGAAAAAATTAATAATAATAATAATGAAAAGAGAGAACACACAACAAAATTTTCATCATCATTATTTAATTAACACATAAAAAAATTTTGGGTCAAAGTTAATTAAAAATAACTCATGTGATTGATACATATACATATATACTTAATTGATTAATCAATCACAATGAATTATTATTATTATTATTATTAATTAAAACATGGAGATAAATGATAAATTATTTAAATAAATCTGTGTTTGTTTAATGTGTGTCAGTGTGAAATTTTACAAATGTATACTTATTATTATTATTATCATTTCATACATGATGATAATAACTTTAAATATAATCAAAATGAAATAAAAGGTTTAATAAACAGGTTGATTGATTTTATTAAATAATGTAATTATTAACAATAATAATAATTAATAAAAAAGAACATGTCATGTTTATGAATGTTGGAAATAAAAGAAACTTAATAAATAAATTAAGAAATTAGATTAATAATAATAATAATAATAATAATAGTAGAACCAAATTGAAATAAATTTCTTGTTAATATATATATATATATCACAAGTTATGTACATTAATAATAATAATAATAATTAAATTCATTTTCATTTCATTTCAATTAATAACTTTTTTTTTATTAATTTATTTAATATATTTGATTTATGTAATTAAGATTTATTGAAAATAAGTTTTGTTATTTGATTTAAATATATATATATTAACATGAATTTATGAGAAAAGTTTTTGTTTTGTGACAAATTTTTTAAAATAATTAATGTATGAAGTTACCATTTTTATATTTTCAATTAATTCTTGTATATCCATTATTATTATTATTATTTTTACATTTTGAATAGATGATTATGCTTCTTCTTCTTCTTCCCTCTATCAATCTTCGATTGAAATACGTTAAATAAAAATAAAAACGAGTAAACGATTCGATTGATTTTCAAACGGAAAATTTTTTCTAATGTAAACAACATCGGGTTGAAATAAAAACCGCGGAAAACGTGTCACAAGACGATTCGTTACAAAAAGCTTTTCGAAACGTACGTTACACAAAAGCGCGCGTGGGAGTGTTTGTGTCTGTGTGTGAGTGAGTAATCTTGTAAAAAATAATCAAATTTATAATTTTTTAACGGTTAAAAGTTATAGTGATGGTTTTAAAATGATAAATAAGTATGTGACGAAGTTTGTGATAGTGTTATTGTGATATTAATATGTGAAAAATTAACGAAAAATTCTTATAACGAAAATTTCAAATCTCACAAGTGTAAGAAAAAGTAAGTAACGAAAAAAATTTTCAAAACGAATTTAATCTCCGTGAGAATTTGTTATAACTTTCTACGAAAATATTTTATTCGTTTTATTTATTTCATTTCATTTATTTTCTATTTAACGATACCCAGACATTAAAAAAAACCGTTACGAAAAATAATATTTTTGTTCACCTCGTAATAAAAGTACTAAACGATCATGAGTGTACAAAACAAAAACTCATCACCAATATATATTTAAATAATAAGTAAAAAAAAAATTTTCTTACTCTGAAGTCGGTCATCGTTTATATAAATTTCTTCATTGTTCTCTTCATTGTTGTAATTTTGATTATTGAACATTTCAATAATTAAAAAAACATTACAAAACGCCAAACAATCAGATTTATTATTTACACACTACAAACTTGACGCAGTGTCCATCATTTGTTTTTTTTTTTTTTTTTTGTTTTCGTTTTTGTTATTCTTCTTTCTTTTTTTTTTTTCTTCTTCTTCTCAACGGTTAAAAAATTTAAATTCCGGAACGTCGAATTCGGAAATTTAAAATAACGACTTTATTATTATTAAGTAAATAAATACTCTCTCTCTCTCTCTTTAAATTTGGCGCATTATCATTAATAATAATAATATGTACAATTCGTACATTTTTTAAAATTAACGGTTTTGTCGTGGAAGTAACAATGCGTTACACCAAGGGGGAGAGAGAGATAATAATTAAACGTTAAATAAATTGTGACAAACGTTTTTAAAAATTTTATTTACAAGCTATTTCATTTAATTTTTTATTTATTTAAAAACAAATATCATCCGATTTCAAATTTCATTTTTCGGTGCGGTCGTTTTTTTTTTTGTAAAAAATAAAAAAATGGCTAACGCGACACGAACGTCCACGTGTATGTATGCATGCATGCATACATGTTTGCATGCACGACACACGCATACACACGCACACACCTTGGTGAAATTTTTAAAATTAATTTCCAAAAAAATTGCAACAAATAAAAAAGTTTTTCCTCTTTTCTTCTTCTCTTTTCTTTTTGAAAAATAATTTCATTTATAATAATTATAAATGCAAAAATGAACAGTGTATTTACACCATATTATTGTACTGTGTAGTCTTCAATGTAAATCTCCTGCATAATTCGAAACTGAAATCAAAACGATTGACATAATTTGATGATAATAATAATAATCATAATCATAATAATACTTTAATAAACAAAATAATTTAGTGTACCTGTTGGAAAATAAAAAAAAACATTTTTAAACAACATCAATCAACAACAACAGGAACAGCAACAGGAACAAACTTTAAATCTTTTTATTCCATTAACCACAAACACTTCATCATCATCATCATCATCATCATTATTATTTGAAAGAGAGAGAAAAAAAATCAAAATAAAATAAAAATAAATAAAACGGTTAAAAATTATGGCTTGTTGGTAGGTCGAGTGCGCGACTTTGATTTCGACGAGGGGAAAACCAAACCAAACCGCGAAATTACTGCTGCTTTCCACTGTCGTCGCCATCGTCGTAGACGTTCGTCGATCTGAAAAAGAGAAGAAAACGGTGAGTTTTTTTTTTTGATTTATTTATTTTGAACAAGAAAAAGACAAAAACAAAATGAATGACTTACTCCGTCGACTGTACGACTGTTTGAATCCGAACGGGATGATGACCACCCTGGGGTATGCTTCGAACATTCGAAGAACCGACGATACCTAAAGGTTGAGACAAACTCGTTATGACTGTCGTCTTTCCCGTCGGCGCGTTTTTCACGATCCTAGGCTCCAAGCTGTTGTTGTTCGCTATTAATTTAACGTTCGGAGATTGTCCGACAACGGATACCCTCACGGGTTGATCACTTAAAACAGTCGATTTGGTTTGATTAACGTTCGATGAAGATCCCACTAGAGTTTGGGATTGCACTTGATGAAAGGGTTGGGCGTTGGAAATCACTTTGATCGTTTTGGCCGCGAGATCCGTCGTCGTCGTCGTCGTCGTCGTCGATAACGTTCCGGGTTGGGAATGAGCAAGCACGGTGGATCCCTGTCCCGTTCCCGATTGCGTGCTCGACACCACTTTGAGCGGCAAAGTGCTTACGGTTGTCGTCGTCGTCGTCGTTTGCAAATTCGACGCTGCCGTGACCAAAACGGTTTGATGATGTTGAGTGTTGGTCGCTAATTTCACTGAATTTACACTAGTTGATCTCACAGCCGAAGTATTGAAATTTCCCGAAGGTAAATAAGTCTTTTGCACGAAGGGTTGACAACTAGTCACTACAACTTTTATGGGTTGGGCGTTCAATTTAACACCTTGAGACACGTTTACCGAAGGTAGTGATACCAGTCCTGATGTCTGCACGGGAGTTGCCATTCGAACCGTCGAAACTCCGGTGCTCACGATTTTACCACCGACCACTTGCTGCTTGAAAGTATTCGTTTCCTGACCTTGAATTTCAACTAAATTATTTACAATTATCGAATTTTGTAGAGCGTTTATTTTTCCCTGGGCAATGTTTGAAGAACCCGGAGGGGGCACGTGAGTGGGTCTTAAAAATCTTATCGTCGTGGGAGATTTAGACTGTTGATCCGCTGCCACGACGGTTTGAGCGACGGGTCGAATGATTTGTTGAGTACCCGTTGTCAAATTCGCGGGACTTAAAATTAAATTCTGATTGCTGCCACCCAACGGCTGTGACGTAATTATTTTAATTATTTGAGGTTGAGGATTTTTACCCGGCACGGGTTTCTGTTGTATTATGTAAGTGGGAGCCGCTTGCTGAACAATTTTAACCGTTTGCGGTCCCGATTGAGACGAGATCTGACTATCTTCTTTGACGATATAATTTCCGGGAATCACAAAATTTTGAACAGAGCTAGGAACTATAGTCTGTTGTATTGTTGTAGGTTTGTTAAACACTAAAACGTTTTGTTGGCTCGTTGAAGGTTGCGTCGGTTCTCCCGACCCCTGTTGACTCACCGCCGAATTCGAATCCGTTTTCGGTTTGACAATGAGTAAAGGTTTTTTTAAATCTAATTTATCACTGATATTCAAAGCCACCACTTTCTCTTTGGACAATTGTTGCTGTACAAAATTATTATCGAGCTTTATGAGGAGTTTTCCATCCGTTATGTACAAATCATTGTCTGAACTGGATGCTCCCGATGAGGTTTGCGGTTGCGGCACGGTCATTTGCTGAACGGTTCCTGATTTTTCTGGCACGACTTGAATTTGTTGTTGAGCCAAATGTATAACCTGTTGAACTTGACCCTGCACCTTGGATGAATTTTGTATTTGAACTTGACCTTGAGGTTGCAACTGCTGCTGCTGCTGAACTATTTTGCCTTGTGAATTCACAGACTGTACGGCTATAAGCTTCGACGGCCATTGAACTGGCTGTTGCATTCTCACGTTCGAAACCGTAACTGGAATTGACCTGTTCTGAGCCACTTGCACGGAAGGTTGTTGAATTTGAATTTGTACCGGGCCCACTGCCTTTTGCTGAATAACGCTTCCCGTCGCGTTAACCTTGATAGGTTGCATTTTTTGAGAAGCGATAGATCCCCCCACCGGATTCTGAATATGGCCGACTACTTGCGTCGACAACTTAACGGGCTGTTGAATGGTGTTAACACTTTCCAAATGATTTATTAACTGCGTGGTTTGTTGTTTTCCCGGTTGTTTAGCCTTATTCCCGATTTGAGTTGTTCGAACCACCGATTGCTGTTTCAACGCGTTCGTCCCCCCGAAATTGCTCAGGGTCTGAACTTTCAATGGGGTTTTGCTATTGTTCAATACTAACAGTTCGGACGTAGCCTGAGAATTAGTAACATTATTCATATTTCCCGATTGAGTGCTTATAACCGAATTGGAAGAACTTCTCGCGTTCAGCGTTTTTTGCAAAATGCTCGTCTCTTCCGTTTTCTTTAATTTCGCTTGATTTTCCATTGCTTTCAACTGTGCGGAACTAAAATAGGGTTTCTTGTTGCCGGGAATGGGAGTCGTTATGCGTTTGGGAGATGCGGCAATAACCGATGAGAACGCGGGTTCTGACTTTTGCGAACCGTTTTTCGATTCCACCATCGAGTCTTGACCCATTTTATCAGATTTAAAAAGTCCTTTTTTAACCGGCGAATTATGCTTTTCCAATATTTTCTGCCTGTTCTTTTCCCAATTTAAATCTTCAGACGGATCGGATATTCTAGGTCCCCAAAATAAAGGTTTTTTCGTTTTCTCCGGCGTGGAATTCGAATGTTTTTCCACCGCATTGCTACTGGAATCAACCCTAAAATACAATATTAAAATTTAGAAAATTTCGATCCGGGACCCCCCCAATACAATTTATCACGATTAAATTACTTTTCCACGGATGATGATTTTGTTCTTCTCCCTGACGTTCGACGAGGAAATTTTGGAGTTTTCGTCACCGTTTCCCTTTTGGCTTTTTTCTTCGAGGTTGGCATCACCCAATTATCATCACTTTCGTTCGATTCGTATTCTTCGACTTCATCCGAATCATCATCCATATCATTCTCTTCGGCAGGTTGAACCTGTAGCCGAGTCTAAATTATAAAAAAAAAACTCATTTTAATTCGTTCTAATAATTACTTTCTAATATTTAGCCATATTAAAAAAAAAAAAAAAATGAAAAGGTTTATTAGGTACCACTCGCGTTCTTCTCCTCGGAGCTAATTCAAAAGAATTATCAACTTGTTGATATCCACTCGATCCCAACGTTTGACTCGTACCCGCAATTTCATCTTTCCCTTCAGTCTTTTCCATATTCGTGGCGCTGCTGCTCATCGACGTGGAAGTAGTTGTTGTTGTTGTTGTTGTCGCTGTCGTTGTTGCCGTGGTCGTAGCAATCGTCGATGCGGTCGTTGTCGTCGCGGGTTCTTCGCATGTTTTCATCCAATAACTTTCGTTGGGATGAACGAAATCCGGTGGTCTAAAATCGTAACAACGACAATATTATTAATATTCCTTTTTACTAGTTAAAAATCCCTGACGATTAGTTGACCTACTGACCTATTCATAAAATTAGTATATTCTCTATACATTTTTTCCTTGTTAGACCTGTGAGATTTCATAAAATCCAATTCCCACGGTTCCAATTCGACCAATAAATTTTGCAATTTTTCTATTAATTCGACTTCGCACGACGTTGTCTTTTGATTCATTTTTTTTTTCTAAAACAACGGAAAAAGTCGCGGATTAGAAAACTAACCGAACGAAGAACGTGCAGACGTAGAAAGTACATTCATACCGATTTCGTGCTTCTCGTTATTATTTCCAAATCATTTTCGTGGGATCCAAATTTGGAAATGAGTTGACGAAGACCCTCAACCGAGTCGACGACCAGATAAAATTTCGCCGGATCGGGTTTCAAATAATTCGGAACGTTATATTTGTACATGGAATCGTATTCTTTCTCGACCACCGCCTTCTCTTCTTTTTCCAATTTAATATTTTCCTCAGTACTACCAACATCTGTAAAAAAAAAAAAAATCGAATTCGTTCCTCCAAATCCGGATTAGGATTAGTATCCAAAGCACACACGTACCTGATTTTTCAACATTTTCTTCTTCTCCCTTTTTAAAAACCATTTTTAAATCTTCTAAATTTTTAACGCTAAATTTAACGTCGTCTCCGTCGTTGTTCAATTTAATATCCGTCAACTTGTTTTGCGATTCGCCACCACCGCCATCTTCTTCTTCTTCGAATTTCATTTCGTCCGTTTGATTAAACGTTTTCTCGAAATCCGTTTGAATTTCGTGCATTTGTTTAGCGTCCAACGAATCCGATTGTTCATCTTCGCAACCTGAAATCAAATCGTTATTCGAAAATCCAAACAGCGTCCGTAGAAAAAACTAACAAACGAACGGAAGTCGTGTGACAAACCGAGAGTTTTGACTTCTTCTTTGACGTCATCTCCGTCGGTTTTGATCGATTTATCACAGGGCGTGCTGTCGTTTCGATTCGAATCATCCATTTTTTTCACGACTCCGCTCCTTCTCCCCGTCGTCGGCTTGTTCACTTTGTCTCTCGGCAATCGAAACACCGACATGGATATGAATTCCCTGTCGGAAAAGGGTCGATACAAAGTTTCCGATTCGGATTGACTCAATTTTTTTTTCAACGTCACCAAATCCGTGTCGGATCCATCGGAATCCGACCAATCGACGTAAGTCTTCTGCTTTGCTCTAGCCGACCTTCTTAAATTTTTCTTTTCGTACGCATTTAAAACGACTTTGGTACTCCAATTTTTTTGCTGGAAAAAAAACAATAATAATAATAATAATAATTTTTCTTCCATTCCATTTTCACGATACCTTGCATTTTTATGCGAGATATACCTTTTTGATTTTGGCAATTTTTTTCTTTCTCGGTTTTACAACCTCGTAGGCCATTTTATTACCGCCCGATTCCCAAATATCCCTAAATATTTTATCTACCGTGATTGGTCCCTCCCTACGTTCAAACCCTTGGAAATTTTCAACAAATTCCGTTAAACTTATATCCCCCTCCAATTTCGTACTCTGACGATAAATTCTCACGTCCGAACCGGAAAACTGTTTCAAATGAATGTACCTGAAATGAAAATAATATTAAAATTGCAAAATTTCCCGTGAAAATTATTATTAAAGTTGCAAGCAAAATTTTCCGTTGAAATTCCTTTTCTCAATGTACCTGTTCCCGTGACGATCGATACCTAAATAAACAGGATTTAATTCGTCCAAAGTTTGAACTCTAATATTGTCGTTCACGGTTTTTTTCCTTATGAAATCAACGTCGCACAAAGTTTTCAATACCCAAACCCTTTGAAGCAAACTGATTTCGTGGAAATAATAATAATCCAATGGATTTATATCGGGACCCAAAATTTTCCAAAATTCAGGTTCGATTCCGATTTCTTCAAATAACTACATACATAAAATAAAACAAATTAAATTTTTTTCTTTTTGAGTTAAACGCTTAAACGTTGACAAATTTACCAAAAAACATACCTTTTGTTCATTTTTCCCTTCTTTGTGCCACGTGCGATACCAAGACAAAACACGTGTTCTAACCAACGGTCCCCATATACTGTAGGGCATCGACGGTGTTCGATCTAATTTCGCTCTGTAAGAGTAATTAAATAGAGGTTAGGGATCCCCTCGAATCTCTCAAAAAAATTTAACACGAAATTTTTATTCACCTCATGAGCGAATTGGTTAGCAGAGCCGTCATTATAAGATCTAACGTGTCGGAACATTGTGGCATCAAAAGCATTCTTTCGATTTCAAATTGAGCAACTTCTCCGATGTTTAATATGTCGGCACAGAGATGAATAAAATGTCCGATGGCGGGAAGCTGTAAAAATAAACGAACGTTTAGCTTGGCTCTTCACTTAACGACGGATTAATTTTTGAAATTAACCCCCACCCCCCGCTTACCTCCCACATGCTCTTTATATCTTCTTCGAAATCTTTCAACAAAACATTTTTTTCCCATTCTTGAACGTCTTTGTTTTGCTCTTCTTTCAACTGTTTCCGCTCTTCCGCTAATAATTTTCTCTTTTCCTTATTTTTTTCATATCTCCGTTTCTCGGTTTTTTCCAATAGTAACGACACGAATCCACCTCCTAAAAACATAAAAGTTATAAATTTTAACTAAAAATATCACAACACCGTTAAATTAATTTCGTACTTAATCGCACCTCCTCACCTTTACTAATCCTGATTTTATTATGACTATTGTTAACTTCTTCGGGTGGTAAAATCAAAGCGCACTGAGGTCGAAGATAATTTGGCAATTGCGCTATCCTTTGCTCTAATATTTGTTCTAACCTTAATGCTCTCTTTATGGCAACCGGATTTCTAGATTCGTAAACGTTTATGAGCATGTCTCGTACGTCATTAACAAATTCACTTATTTTCTTATAAGTGTTTTCTTCAAATTTTTTCTTAACTAAAATTAATTACAATTAATCGTTGTAAATGAGAAAAAACAAAATGGCGTCCATAATAATATTATATACTGACTTTGATTAAAACAAGTTATTTTCGTGTCGTCGTCGTCGTCGTCGCCGTCGCCGCCGCCGCCGCTGACAACGTTTGAATTTTTTTTATTAGGTTTGTGAAATCCAGAAAATTGTGGAGTGTCTAAAAATCTAACGAGCATTTTATATCCTAAAACCATATCGGATGAGAGATGAGATGGTATAACTTCCGGCGTTTTTTTCCCCTTTCTCCTCCCTCTCCTCCGTGGTTTATCTGTTATCGCAAACATAAAAACAATTCGAAGTTAGTAACGACATTTTTCTTTTTACAAAAAGTAACAGGGTAACATAAATTACCATCATTGCAGTCCAAATCACTCTCATTGGATTCTTCGTTACCATCGGAATCTTGTGGAGGATTTAATGTGTTTTCAATTGACAATTTTCTTTTTCTACCTCTTGTTAATTGTCTAATTTCAATATTACTATCCAAATTTAAATTTACATTTGTGATGTTTTTATTATCGACTTTTTTACTATTTTCATCATTTGTTTTGAAATCATCCAAAGCGTTATCAGGTTTAAGGGTAGTTATTTCAGTCTCCAATTCTTCTTCTTCTTCTTCTTCTTTTATATCGACGCACATTTCATTCACTTGTAACTTTGTTTCCTCGCCACAAATTTTTATATTTTTATCAGACTCTTGTTCACATTTACTACTACTACTACTAATATTTTTACTAAAGGAATTATCATTAATTTTTTTACATATAGCTACACTCTCCTCATATTCGATAACCTCCTCTCCTTTCTTTTTATTATCACTAAAACTTTGGTTTGGATAAGATTTGTCTAAGTTATCTATCAGACCATGAGTCGAAACCTAAAAAAAATTTGAAAATCCATTTTATAATTCATTATTATTATTATTATTATTATTTATACCTATTTATTATAAATGAAAAAAAAAAAAAAAATTAATTACCTTGACTGTATTTTTCTCTTCAAATTTTGAAGGTTCTATTATGTTATTTAAATTTGTTTCTTTCGAATTTACAGTTTGAATTTCAGGTCCTTTGAAATACTGTATCACAGAACATGAATTTTTTGACGAATCCATGCCTCCTGAAAAATTAAATAATAATAATAATAATAATTACCATCCATTCAGGAAATCGCACTATGTGGGACGGCCCACATTCTTCGGAAAATTTTGGCACCACCGAAATTCGAGTATTTATCCCTAAGGAATCGGGTAGAAACCTGGGATAAATGCTTAAAACCCCGACAAATAAGAGCCTTGTCGTGTTTAATGGTGAACATAATAATTAAAATTTAAATGTCTTAAACCTGTTAGGAAACATAACACATTCGACAAATAATTGTGACAGTTATAAAGACTAAAATAAAAAACTTACAAATGTCAAAACAAACTGATAGAACTTGAGGATTACAATTTTAAAAAGAAAATTAATTATAAATAAAACAATGACAACAAATGCATTAGATTAAATAATTATTTTTTCTTTTTTTTTTTTTGTTAAGATTTCAGGTCGTTCAGGAAACTTTTTGTTAATGATTTTTTATATTTGAAATTTAATTTAATTTTTTTTATTTCTTTTTTAGTATTTTTATACCACCCGAATCGAAGCCTATTCGAATTGTTTAAAAAAAAAAAAAAAAAATTACTGGGATCGTTTAATAATGTGTCAAAATCGAATAAAATCATACGGCGTATTCACGTATAAATTATAATTAAACAACACGTACGAACATATGACTTTTTTTTGCCTCCAAAACTTCAAATATAATCAGATTTAAATGCTGTGCATCTATGTAAAAAAAGATGAAGAAATTTTTTTTTTTTTTTTATCATCACGGTAAGGAGTAAAAAAACAATTTAAATTTTTGAATTAATACCTTCATAACTATTAGTACGATTGTATATATCGATAAATAAATTATTTAGACATGCATTCGGTTAATAAACCGAGGAAAATTAAATGCATCCTCAGAAATAAAAAAAAATAAATAACAAAATGAAACTTAGTTTTTAATACTAATTAACGCCATTTTGTCTGTATCTCTATGCAAAGCCTCCCAGATAACGTTTATTACGTCAGTGAATTGTCAAAGGTTTTTTTTGCAACACCTTTTACGCGGGAAATTTTAAAAAATTTTTTACAATTTCACCATCCCATCGAGTCTCGACGCGATATATCGATTTATTTTAATTCTTTTCGATAAATAATTAATAAAATGAAAAACTCAAACAAAATCGTTCGAATTGTGAAATAAAAGAAATCGTCGCGATCGTTAACGTTCCTCTCTCGAAACGTTCGAGAGTCGAAAAGAAAACAAAATGGCGGTGATATCAACGTGTAAATTAACGTGGAATATACATCAGACATTTTTAATTTAAATAATAATAATAATAAAACGTTTGGGCAGTAAAAAAATGTAAAATTTTAATGTTTCAGTTTTGTTTCGTTTGGGATTTTCCTTTGAAACGATTATCAAGATTTCTGAATGGATTTTCGAAGCTCATTTTAATTCCATTGATAAGTTGAAAACTTGTGAACGAGTGAAAGTAAACAAAATGGTGATATAGTGGTCGTAGTGTTTTGTGTATTCTCAACAAAATTTATTTATTTATTTATTTTAAATTGTGGAGAAAAAAAATTATGTTTGTATTATCATCGTAAATGAAAATGTCTTCAGGAGAACATTTATGTTTAAAATGGAACAATTTTGAAAATAACATTTCAAGTTATTTGGATATATTAAGAAGTGAAAATGATTTCGTCGATGTGACAATAACTTGTGGTGAAAAAAATTTCAAAGCTCATAAAGTTATTTTAAGCGCTTGCAGCCCTTATTTTCGCGGAATTTTCCAGGTAAATACAAATTTTTTTTTATTTTTAATTAACGTTGTGAGAGAATTTACTCTTCTTATAATGTGTGTGTGTGTGTTTCAATTATTCGTTCGTGAATCGTATGATTGCGAAATATCTGGGCTTGTTTTGTTATATACAAATCTAGGACATGTCCTTCTCATCAAGGACTTTTCCAAGGCTTACACCTCAATGTTTTTTTTTTTTACTTTTACAAAACTAGTTGGCCTATTCATATAGGCTGGATTGCATTGACTTTTGCTATGGAATGTAGGACAACAAATGCACAAAGAAACAAAAAAAAAAAATCATTTTCTCTCTCTCTCTCTCTATTTCTCTTTTCTCTTCTTTAAAACAAAAGCATAAAATTTCATTTGCTGTCATCTTTTTGTTTTATTTTGACATCATTTTAAAATCGAATCAAATGAAAAGAGAAATTTTTTTACATTATTTTCTTTAAATTCATTCCATTTGCAAAATTTGATACAACAGCACCAGCAGGAAAATTCATACAATATTTTTTTTCATCCATTTCGCTGTTTCAAATCGATTTCGTACAAACAACAAACAAATTTCATTTACATTCAATCAATCAGATTTAATTTAAAAAAAAAAACATGAAATCCAATGTTCGATGACCCCCTTTTTTTTTTTTTTTCTTTTCATTTTTTGCCACCTGCTAAATATTTTTCAAATCAATTTTTTATTTTTTAATCGCTCGACAAAAAAAAAAAAAAAAAATTAAAAAAATTAAGTATTAAAAATAAATTCATTGTCGAACATTGTCAACATTATCATAATTCAGGCATCGATTTGAATTTTTTGTGTGTGTTAATCAATCCATATAAGCCTGTTACCATTTTTATTAAAAAAAAAAAATTTGATATTTTTTTTTTTTTTTTACGATTGAAATAATTTACAAACAGGTACCAACAGGTACAAACAGGTAACAAACAAATTGACAAAAAATTCAATTTTTATCTTTTCCATGTCTCGCATCAAAGGGAGAATTTATATATAATCATTGTAAAAGGTAAACAATTTATTATTGTTGTTGTTGTGACTGTTGTGGTTGTTGTTGTTGTGATTGTTGTGGTTGTTGTTGTCGTCATCATCATCATCATCATCACTAAATGTTCTCAATTTCATTTTCTTAAGAATTCCCCCCCCCCCCATGTTAATTATTTATTTATTTATTTATTCATAAATTATTATAATTTGACTTTGAGTGTTACGTCATTCGTTCCCCTACCTTCCCACCCTCTCTCTCTCTCTCTCCCCTTCTTCACATTTCATTTCACGTTGATTTAAACTCAGGTTCATAGGTTTGATAAGGTATCTGATATTCACCATATCAAAACCATTATTATTATTATTATTATTATTATTATTATTATTATTATGCGGGTTTTAAAAAAATTCGTTATCGGTCAATACAAAACAAAAAAATTTGGCCAGGAATTTTTTATTAAAATTTATTTTTAGAAATTTTTTACCCGCGCGTTTTCTCCTTTCTTCTTCTTAAAACAACATCGCGTTATCACACCGTGGCCCCTCTTCCCCTCCCCTTCTTCCTTCCTCCCAACCCCCCATCCCGTCACATCGTTGTCATCATTGCCAAGTAACCTGCACATGATGATGTCGTCCGATTTATTTTAAGAACAATTTTTAAATCGAGACCGAATTTTTATTTATTATCATTATTATCATCATCATCATCATTATTATTATTATTATTATTATTATCATTATCATTATTATTATTATCATTATTATTTTTCTTAGATGTGAAAATTTGCATTTTTTAAACAAAAAAAAATCGTTTGAACTCGATACAGGTGAACGTAATTGTGTGTGTGTGTGTGTGTGCGTGTCACGTTGGCGTTGTTTAATTACCTTGCAAACCTCGAAAGAATTTTTTTTTTTTTTTTTTTTTTTCAATAATGCACATTTTCCTTTCGTCGTGTCACTATCCTCCTCGTTTACCGTTTAAATTTTTTTTGTTTTTATTCTTCTTACACGACCTTTCCCGAGGGTTATTTTTTATTGTTTTTTTTTTTTTTTTTTTTTTTTTTTTCTATCCGTCGTTATTTATGTTGTTCCGTTAAAGTCTCGCATGTGACTTCCAACGTACACACACACACACACGGTCATTTTCTGCTCCCACGTTTTTTTAATTTTTTTTTACGTTGTCCGACGGTGATATATTAAACATAAAATACTTTCCCGCGCGTTTTCGCGTTTGTTTTTTTTATTTATTTTATTTTTTATTATTATTTTGTTTTTATTTGGTTTTTTTTTTTTTTTTTTGTTTTCACGTATAGGAAAATCCCTGCAGTCATCCGGTTATAATATTAAAAAATGTTAGTTCGAACGAAATGGAAGCCATCATTCAATACATATACACGGGAGAAACGTACATAGCCAAAGACGATTTATTTTCTTTTTTAAACACGGCCAATTTGCTACAAATAATCGGTTTGATTAATTACAATTCGTCGTCGTCGTCGTCGTACGACGACGGAGGAGATAATAATAATCAAAATGGAACTTACGGACTACATCATCATCATCATCACTCAAACGAATACAATAATAATCAGGGTCAAAAAATTAGAATTCCCAACAGTAGCGGCAACAGCAGTGGCAGCAACAGCAGTGGCAGCACCACCGCGAAAACTGGTGGGATCGTCGTTAAAAAATTTGCACATAAAACGGATGAATGCAACAAAACGAGATCCCCCCCGAACGCGGACGGAAATCCATCGAAGAAAAAACACGGTGGCAGGGTTTCCGACGGGGACACACAACAATCGGGAGAAAGTCCCCCCGTCGTCAAATCCGCCGAAGAAAATTGTCCGATATTGAGCAAGCAACTCCTACTCCCGAAAAAGAGAAAATTATCCGTCGTGGATCAGAACAAGAACGAATTCTACGACAATTCCGAACTGAGCAACAGCAGCGAAGATTTAAAAGACAGCGGTACGATATTGCGAAATTGTTTGGAAAGCGAAAAGCAAGAAGGGGAAAAAGAAGCGGACGACGAATGTCCGCCATTGTCTATTCCGACCGTGATGATAAAAAAAGAAACCGTGGAAAGTGACAACAACAACGTTTTGGAACCCGAAGTAGGTTTGTGCGTGAAAGAAGAACAAGAATTTGAATCCGCGAGCGAAGAAAGTTCACACAACGGAGACATTTTGTTACAAAGGTTACAGGCTTCTCAAGGTTTGTTGTTTTGACAATTTAAAACGTTAGACACACGCACGCACGCACGCACACACACACGTACACGCACATACACACACACACACACGAATTACATTGTTTTCTCTCTCTCTCTCTCTCGTTACGTAGTTTACACCTGAACTCATTCGAAGAAACGTGACAATAGACTCTTTTTTTTTTTTTTGTTTTGTTTTTTTTTTCCATTTCCGGTTCCGGAATTTCATTTCCACCGGAAACGACTACGGACGAATTATTTATTTATTTTTTTGTCCATTGCAGATATCAAAGGTGAAGGATACGTGACCGATCACGGAGAAGAAATTCTTTTAAAAGTGCCAAAGCCCGACGTGTCGATATTTTCAAAAAAAACGTGTAAAGGAGATGGCGATATCGTCGTTGTCGGGGGAGGAGGAGTTGGAGGAGGAGGAGGAGGGAACAACAATACCGGAAACGGCGGAATCGAATGTGAAAATTTAACGTTGACGCCGAACGTTGAAATATTTTTACGAAACGCGAACAACAGCAGTGATAATCTAATTAACAAATTAACGAAAATCAATTTGTTCAAAGCGAAACAAATGAAAAAAATTAAAAAATCCTGTGGCGTGACAACGGCGGTCAACAAATCGGACGTCACGATCGTTGCGACCGTACCGGGAACGTCGAAATCCGGGATGTGTGATAAAAACGATTTCGCGACGGGATCGACGGGAACGGGATCGGGAACGACGGGTACGACAGTGAGAAACGGAATAGGAAACGATTGTAAAACTTTACACTTGGCGAACCTGCCGTGTCCCCATTGCAGGCAAGAGTACAATAATTTATCCGCTCTCAAATACCACGTCAGACTCATGCACAGCGATTTAGAAAACAAATTATTTTGCCATTTGTGCCCGATGAACTTTATAGAAAGGGAATATTTCAAGATACACTTGTGGGAAGCCCACAATGCGAGATTTTGATTTTTACTACTTCTTCTTCTACTTCGGCGGTGGTTTTTTTTTTTTTTTAAATCATTTTTCCAATCGATACATCGATCGATAGATCGAACGTCTTCTGCTCGAGCGTCTGCGTTCGGTAAGTTTTTTTTTATTTATTTATTTTTTTTTTTTTTTACACCGTCGGAATCGTTTCGAACTCGTGTCGCGGGGGTACTCAGAGTATCGATTATCGATCATTCGACTCCTCGAACCTTTTTCGTTTTTTTAAATTTTGGCGCGCGCGAATGATTTGACGAGAAAAGGAAACGGAAGTTTTTCTGATTTTTTTTTAAAAATAAAATATCAAATTAACGGAACGTGGGGGGGGGGAGGGGGGGAAATGTTTTCGAAAGTTTTTTTTTTTTTTTTTTTTTCCACATCAAGGACGAGATTATCGTCCTTAAATTGACCTCGCGTTGACCTTAAATTGACCTTCATTTACAAATTTATTACTGACGATTATAATTACATTGAAATTTTTTTTTTTTTAATGAAAACACAAAAACTTTGACTACTAACTACTCTGACTTTGCCAGCCCTGATATTATTATTATTATTATTATTTTTTTTTTTTTTTTTTTTACTCTATCTGTCTCTCTCTCACGCACGCACATTTATTGTCTCTCTTAATTCTATCTTTTTTTTTTTTTTTTTAAAAAAAAAAAGTAACAGTGGCGGCCATTTTAATCCGTTCGTTACGCTCGATAAACTTTTGCCCTAACTAATAACTTTTCTCTCTCTCTCTCTCTCTCTCTCTCTCTCTCTCTCTCTCTCTTTCCGAATCGATTGGAATAAAATAGAAGGAGGGTGGGGAGGGAAGGGGGAAAGGGAGGTGACGTGAAAATAATTTTACCTTGGCAAAACTATATTTGCAATATGTTTACCAAAAAAAAAAAAAAAAATCAAAAACTCACCGGTAGCCTTTCTCTCTCTCTCTCTCTCTCTCTCTCTCTCTCTCTATTTTACCTCCTTTTTCTTTATATAGCAAATAAGGTAGATATGAATTTGCAATTGCGAAAATTTGGTTCGCATAAATAAATGATTCACGGATCTAACCTAGTTTTTCTTTCTTTTTTTGTTTCATAATTTCTCTCTCTCTATCTATCTCTCTCTCTCTCTCTCTCTCTCTCTCTCTCTCTCTCTCTTTTTGTTTTTCACCTGACGACGACGAACAATTAAAAAAAAAACGATGGCAATGTACTCAAGGTTGTCAATGTAATAGGGGGGGGGGAAGGGAGGGAAGGGAAGGGAATCAATCAATGAGAGACGCTTTAATAATTTTCCACGTGCTTCTTGAACAATCGTACAAAAAAAAAAAAAAATTTGACGTGTCATGACGTCATCCGAATCTCCCCGTTCGTTAAAAAAAAACTTTGGAGGTTTTCCACGTTTTATTTCAAATTTATTTTTAGAAAAAAAAAATTTTTTACATTTCGAATCTCCCTTTGAATTTCATTAATAATAATAATAATAATAATAATAATAATAATAATAATAATAATAATAATAATAATAATAATAATAATAATGATAATAATAATGATAATGATAATTTTTCGACCGTTATTATCATCGTGTCGTAACGTTTTTATTTTTAGACTTTGTCCCTTTGAACGAACTCTTTACGTAGTAAATAAACAAACAGACGAACAAACAAACACCGAGCTAGAAAGAGAGAGAGAGAGAGAGAGAGAGAGAGAGAGATAGTAAATAAATACTGATTACCAAAACCGATACGAAAACACCCAAAAAAAAAAAAAATAATAATAATAATTTACGTAATTATATCAACCGGGGGAATAAAAAAAACAATTTAAACAACAGGCTGTTGTCTGTTGTTGTTAAAAGTGATAGATAACGATAAGAATTCGTATGGGGGGGGAAAGAGAAGGGAAGGGAAGTGAAAGGAGAGAATAAGGGAAAAAGAGAAAGATAGATAGATGTATGACTTGACGACGTTTGCGTTCGCTCTCTCGCTCGCTCGTTCGTTTAATTTAATTTAACGGCCGTTCGAAAGTGATGCGTTCGTTTGTTCGTTATAAAAAAATTTTTAAATTTCCCGCGTAAATTTTTTGTACACGTGAGACGCGTGAATTTTCCTTTGTGGCAGACGACGACGACGAGGAGAAGGAGGAGAAAGAGAGAAAAGGTTTTCTGTCACGTTTTTATTTCCACGCTCTCTATCTTTTCATCTCTTTTCCTCTTGTTCTCATTTCGCTCTTTCTCTCTCTCTCTCTCTCTCTCTCTCTCTCTCTCTCTCTCTCTCTCTCTCTCTCTCTTCTCACTTCTACGCCAGGAAAAAAAAAAAAAAATGGACGGAAGGACGCGAGTGTCGTTAAAAATGGCCGTCGCACCGTCGGAATCATCGGAATCGTAATTAAATCTCAATTATTAGTGCCTTAATTATTTATTACACGATTTTTTTATGTTTACTTGTTTGTTGTTTGTTTGTTTGTTTGCGCGTGTTTGCGTGAGTGCGTGCGCGTAAAAAAAAAGAACGAAAAACACGTGACCACCGCAGTAATAATTATTAAATTTCAAAAGCTTGGAATAATTCTCGATGCAAATCGGAAATGTGGGGGGAAATGGGGGAACAGGGGGAGGGGAGGGGAGGGGGAAGGAAAACGTTTACTTAATAAACTCGAACGAATGAATATAATCGCACCGATCGATAATTATAATCATCGTTATAAAAAAAAAAAAAAAAAAAAAAAAAAAAAAAAAAAAAAAAAAAACGTTATCGAAATTGTAATAATAATAATAATTTGATACTTGTTTACCGAACTGGAAATCGATATATCGAACGATACATCGTTTGCTCACATATCGAATTCCCTTCTTTTTATTATTATTATTATTATTATCGTTATTAACGAAAATTTATTTTTTTTTAAATAAAATCGAATCGAATCGAATTATTATTATTATTTATGGGGTTTGTTATTACTATCGTTATTATTATTATTATTCGTTTAACAAGGTAAACGTTATTATTATTATTGTTGTTGTTGTCGTTGTCGTTATCATTATTATCGTTTGTTTGTTATTTAGTTTGCATTTTGTGCGCATTCGTATTTATACGGCAGACATTTTGAAATTTTCTCATATTTGTTTGTACGCTTTGATTGTCAGGAGTTTTTTTTTTTTTTTTTTTACTTGTGTTTGTCAAAAAGGAAAGGGAAGAGGGGAGAAGGGAGGAGAGAGGGGGGAAAGAAATCGAAGGAGGAGGGGAAAAAAAGAAAAATCCGAACGGAATCCTTTCGTACGTGGTAGCAAATAATTTTCTTTTTTTTTTTTTTTGCGTGTGCGTGTGCGTGTGCGTTTGCGTTTGTCTCATTTTGTTTGTTACGACGTGCGTGCGTGCGTGTCAATGTTCGAGATTTTTTTTTTTTTGCATTTGTTTGTTTGTTCGTTCGTTGCCTTGAAATGACAGAGAATTAAATTTGTCGGGAGATTGTTATTGTTGTTGTCGTTGTCGTCGAGCAGGTATATTTTGCGACGTTTTTCGATAAAGTTTCGAAATCGTTTTCCCCCGTTTCGAGATAATCGTTTTTCCGGAAATTATAAATTTCGTCTGCTTTTGTTTTGTTTTTCCCGATCGCCGGAAACGACAGGTGTTTTTTCGGAAATGTAAATCATTACGAAAGCCGTTAGCCGTTAAGGTCGTCGTTTGTTCGGGATCATCGACATTGAGAATCGATTCCCGAAGGAAAAGAGAGAGAGGGAGAGAAAAAGACAAAAGGTACGCGTATCGGGCGCGTGTGTTACGGGAACGCGATTTTCAGGTTTTATTATTATTATTATTATTATTATTATTTTAAGTATAAAAGTTATTGAACCTGACGGCGGTATTTGAGAGATCGGTGGCCTTGTGGGAGCCTATTGCCGAAACGATTGCAGCACAGGGCCGATGATTTCCTTGACATGGTTTCTCCTCCTTCGTTGTTTGTTTGTTTGTTTGTCCTTTTTTATAAAACTCTTCTCGTTAATAAGGTTCAACGTCTTTTTTTTTTTATTTAAAAAAAATTTTTTTTTTCGTCCTCTTATTTTCGATAAAGTGACAAACAAACAAACAAACAAACAAACAATAATTTGTAATAAAAAATAATTGAGTTAATTAAAAGGAAGGAAAAACCTGAAATCATTTCGACGAAATCAAACGATTTCTAAAATTAGCGTAAGAACGATTTCGCGAACGCACGCACGCACGCACGCACCTACGCACAAACGAACGAACGAACGCGCGCGTTTGCCTTGACGCGTTTTTTTTTTTTTTTTTTTCGATTTATAAGAAATCTCTTGTTTCTCCATTTTTGTTTTTTTTTGCCGTTACGAAAATTATAGCGCTTTAAAAAGAAAAAAAAAAAAAAAAATAATCGTAACTCGATAAATCAATTTTTCCCACGCTCCTCCCTCCCCCCCACCGTCTTCTTCGTCTTAAATTTAACGGAAAGTATTTTTTGAGAAGAGGAGGAGGAGTGAGGGAGAGAGGGGAACGAGAGTCATCATCCTCTTTCGCGTTTCTCCCCCCCCGCGCGCGAAATTCCGCGATCGCGACCGCGAACTCAAAAAAAAATCAATCTCAAAGTGATAAACGGTAAATATTCAAATAAAGCAATTACGACGATAACAATGATGATGATGATAATGATGATGATGATAATAATAATAATAATAATAAAATATCCGATTGTTAACACGAGGTCGAAATTATTACGCGGCGGTTTCGTCTTTGTTTTCCCCGATATGCGAAATTTCGCGCGCGTTATTTCGTCAAAGTATAATTTTCATTAGTATCAGTAATAATAATGATAATAATAATTACAATAAAGAAACCGCAGATAATGATAATAATAATAATAATAATATTTTTGTAGCGCTGCAACAGGCAAATCAAACTTGAGCAAAAACTTGAGAAGTAAAGAACAAAAAAAAATTTTTTTTTTCCCCTCCCTCGAAAATTCGACCGTCGCAAGTTAAGAACGATGGATTGATTGATTGAATGAATGAATGAATGAATGATTGTTTAACCGACTGCGTGTACGAGTGAATGAATGAATCACCGACTAAATAATAATCGACCGATTGATTTCGATAAAGATGAATGATAAGGAACGAACGAACGAGTGAGTGAATAAAATGATCGATCGATCGATTATCGAACGATATCGAATCGTTTATTATCGCGACTTATCGGATAATTTTTCCCGTTCGTTTTCCGACTCGCACGCGCACCCCGACCCCGACGCACGATGCCGATCGTTATTATTATCATTATCATTATTATTATCGCTTTTTTTTTTTTTTGATTTCAGTTAAACTGCCGTTTCGAATTCGTTTTGGAAGAAAAAGGATTTCATTCAGTAAATTTTTTATTACGAAACGAAGTGAAAAAAAAAAAACTTTAAAAAAAAAAAAAAAAAAAGGAGGGGAGGGAGGATAAAGGGATTTTGAAAAAAAGGGGAGGGGGCGTAGTTGGGGAGGAGCAAGCGAGGGAGGGGTTCAGTACGTACATACGAATATATACAGACGAATTAAATAATTAAAAAAAAAAAAAAAAAAAAAAAAGTGACCGATCCGATTTAAATAATAAACAAACAAACGGAAAATTGTTTTGTTTTTCGCGCGTGCGCGTGTGCGTGTAATTTGTCGCTCGCGAGTGAGTGAGAGAGAGAGAGAGAGATAGAGAGAAAATATGATTGAAAAAAGGGAAGAAGAAAACGAGGAAAGGGAAAAGGAGGAGATTTTAACGAAATTGGATGTCATCGGAAACGGCGGATGGTTCCTGTGGAAAATTTTCTTCCTCTGCACGATACCCTCGATATTCAACGGACTTCATTTAACGAGTTACATATACCTGGCAGAAGTACCCGTTCACTGGTGTCACGTGACGGAACTATCGGAATCTAATTGGACGGATGAACAAATAAGAATGATATCGAGTCCCGTCGGAAGGTAAATTTTTTTAAAATTTTTTTTTTCCACGGTCTCTCTCGATGGGATGGCGACGATGCACCATTCCACCTCTCTCTCTCTCTCTCTCTCTCTCTCTCTCTCTCTCTCTCTCTCTCTCTTTCTCTCTCTTTCAACGCGACGCAAGCAAATAATAATAATAATAATGATAATGATAATTACGCAATAAGTGACAGAATTCAATAACCTCGATTAAGAATGAAAAGAAAAGACGTTTTATAGTTCTATAAGTAACAATTTGCTTCTTTTTCTTTTCTTTTCTTTTGAAAACAAATTAAATGACGTTGACGAAGGTCAGTCGATTCAGTAGTTTAAACCGCGAGTTAAACAAATACAAGAGAGAGAGTGAGGGGGGGGGGAAGAGAAAGAGAAAGAAAAGTAAAGAGAGAAAGTGAAAATGGAGAAGACATAAACGTTAAACGAATCTAACGAACGTTTTTCTTTTCGTTCCTTTCCGTTCCCTTCCGTTCATTTCCGTTTCATTTCCCGTACGAATCGAAAAACCGGAAGTGAAATGATATGCGACTTCTGGATATTAAACGAATGATTCTCGCTTTTTCAATTTTAACCTTTTAAAAAGGGGGGGAAAAAAAGTGTCAGAAGAAAGGGGGAAGTGGGAGGAGAAAAGAGGTGGGGACTCGATAGGAAAATTTTACGAATTCGATATGAAAAAAAAAAAAAAAAAAAAAAAAAAAAAAATGGAGGGAAAATTTTTTTTTAAAAACGAGAGAGAGTCGAAAGTAGTGGAATACATCGCGGCGCATTATTAACGATTTTCATCTAAATGCTGGTACCACCGCGGAAAAACCGCGACCGCGTCTTCGGCGCAAAACGAAAAAAAAAAAATTATATTTCGAATGGCAACGAGACGAATTTTCGAAAACGTTCGCAGCACGTACACGTTCGCGGTGGTGGCGGTGACGGATGCACACACATTTATCCGTTAAATTTTTTTTTTTTTTGCAGCAACGAAAGTTCTTGCGAATATTACAATTGGGATTACGAAATGATTTCGAAAATGAACGTGTCGGAAGCATTGGAAGAATACGGCGGGGAAAATTCAAACCGAGAAAAACCCGAATTGATACCTTGTTCGAGGTACGATTATGAAAAAGGATTGAGTTCAATGGTCATTGACGTAAGTTGTTGTTGACACGTTTTTTTTTTTTTTTTTTCTAATTAACCGCCATTCATTTCATTGCCGAGATTCTCTCTCTCTCTCTCTCTCGTCTATCGACCTTCTCCTTCCCCGTTTGCTTCATTATCATTATCATTCCTTTTTTTTTTCGTCAGCACGATTTGGTGTGCGAGAGAACGGCTCTAAAATCCATGATACAAGTGAGTTTGTCACTCGGAAAATTCACCGGAGCTTTTCTATTCGGCGTCCTATCCGACAAATACGGGCGGAAGTTGAGCTTTTTACTCGGTTGCCTCATTTACGTCGTGAGCGGTCCGTTGGTCGCTTTCGCCGGAAATTATTCCATGATCGTAGCCGGAAGAATCGGATTGGGAGCGGCTTGTTCGGGAATATACAATTCCGCTTTCGTCATACGTGAGAACGCTTTCCTATTCTTTCGATCGATCGATCCATCGATATCTCGATTCATCTCGATTATTTTTTTTTTGTTGTTTTTTCAGTGTCGGAAATAGCGAGTAAAAAAAAGAGAGCCGCTTTGGGTATACTCTACAACATGAGTTATCCTCTCGGACAAATGATAATACCCCTCATTGCGTTTTTCTTCAGGGATTGGAGAACTTTGCAATTGATCATTTCCGTTCCATCGATATTGATTTTCGCGTTTTACTGGTGAGTTTAGATGAGTCGAAACTTTTCATTTCCGGTAAAAAAAAAAAAAAAAAAAATATTCACTCTCGCTGTTTTTTTTTTCCCCTTGCGTCGCAGGATGTTGCCGGAATCTCCCAGATGGCTCTTGTTGAAAAATCGAAAAGAGGAAGCATCGCTCATGATTGAGAAAATCTATTCGAATCAAGTGAAAAATGATGACGACAAAGGACGTTCCGATGTGATGAAAAAAAATGGCGGCGACGGTGACGACGAAGAACAAGTCATGAGAGAAATGAAGGGAAAAAAACAAAAAAATGGCTCCATCTCTTCGGATAAAAAAAATTTCCAAACGGATAAGAAAAACGTAAGACGCTGTTTGTTTGTTTGTTCACGATTGTTGTTATTGTTGTTGTTTTCTTCGAATAGGAAACCGGAAACGAGACGAAAGACGAAGCAGAAGACGATAAGGGAAAATATTGGAAAAACGTTTGTTCGACACTGAATCAACTCGTACAACTTTTGAAATATTTCGAATTGAGGAGTCGTTTGTTCATTATATTGACATCCTGGTGCATTTGCAGTTTGTCCTACTACGCACTCGGTAAATTTTAATTTAAAAAAAATTTCCCCTCCTCCCCCCTCCCCCCGTTTGTCGTTACGCGCGCAAAAAATTTCACACATTTTCACTTATACAGCACTCAACGTGGATAATTTTCTCACGAATCGTTACGTTTACGGTTTCGTTACTGGATTGGTGGAAATTCCGAGTTACGTACTTCCGCTTCCGCTTTTGAAATTTTTCGGAAGGCGTCAAACGTCCATAGCGTTGTTTTATCTGGGTGGTTTTGCTCTTTTGACGATTCTCATCATACCGAGGCACGAAGGTTTGTTCCTTTTTTCTTCCTTTATTAAAGTCTTTTATCTTTTTTCCTCTTTTATTTTCTTTCGTAAAGGTTTTTCTCTCTCTCTTTCTCTCTTTAGACGTCGTTTTACTTTTCGTCGCATCCGTCGGACGTTTATGCGCTTCCGCCGTTTTTGCCGTCGTCATTTTACACACGACAGAATTGTTTCCGACATTGTTGAGAAATACGGCCATAGGATGTTGTTCGACGGCCGCACACATCGGATCCATGAGCGCTCCTTTGATCGTCGACATTTTGGTTGGTATTTTAAAAAATAAAAATTTTCCCCCTTTTTTTTCCTCCATCATTTTCCGATTGGAAAATCTTTTCTTTTTCTTTCAGGGCGCTTACGCTTGGTTCATTCCGAGCACACTTTGCGGAATCGTTACTCTCCTAGCCGGAACTATGATTTTCCTTCTTCCCGAAACTAAAAACAAACCACTTCCGGAAACGGTTGAGGACGTCGTCAAAGCACCGAAAAGTGACAGGATTGGATTTCATCAAATTTGTCCGTCGGATTTGCGACACTGAACTGAGAAACGAAATGATCTCTCTCTCTCTCTCTCTCTCTCTCATTGGTTGATTCACTCGCCAATCACGTGTTGTTATTTATTTTTAAATTCGTTCGCGAATCGTAACGATTTTTTTTTTTTTTTAAAATGAAAGTTACCTACTCACAGATGATATTTAGAAAAAAAAAAAAAAAATTAAATTGGATGACCGGTAAAGGGGTGGTAATGAAGGTCACGTGGTGCATTTTAAAATCGTAATTTTGTTTTTCCCGCCAAATTAATAATAATGATAATCGCCGAATATTGGAAAATTAGAAAAGGTTCGTTCGTTCGTTCGTTCGTTCGTTCGCGAGCCACACGACATTTACGACAATAATAATAATAATAATAATATGTCTTCCCCCGACCGATTGCCAATAATAATAATAATAATAATAATTAACAACAATAATAATACAATATCATCAAACAACGTAAAAAAAAAAAAAAAAAAATTTGAAAATTGAAAAAAACAAAACAAAACAAAAATTCGATATATATATCGAGTATCGAATATCGAACGTAACGATATCATTCGATATATATCGATTGTTATTCGAACCCGTTTATTCATGCGCATGTATGCATATATATATATATATATATATATATATATATATATATATATGTGTGTGTGTGCGTGTGCGTGTAAAAGATCTCATTTTCTTATAAGTAAGAGTTCAAAAATAATGAATTAAGTTTCCTTTGTTTCCTTTTTTTTTCCTTTTTTCCTTTTTTAACCGCCATTAAATAATTATATATATATATATATATACATATATATATATATATATGCATACATATGTGAAATTTTTATGTACAGAGAGAGAGAGAGAGAAGAAATTATTTTTTATATATATGTATATTCACCCATGCAGTCGTTAAGAACCGTACCCGTTTAAGCCTTTAAATGTATCCTTTTTCTGTATAATAATAATAATAATAATAATAATAATAATAATGATGATGAAAATGATGGAGATAGTAATAGTAGTAATAGTAATAGTAATAATAATGATAATGATAATAAAAGTAATATATATATATATATTATAAAAAAATAATAAATAATTGTATTAAAAAAAAAAATAAAAGAGTGAAAATAAAATAATTAAAAAAAAAAAAAATAGAAAAAAAAATTATATATTATTATTATTATTTTTTTAAATAAAAAACAAAGAGAGAGAGAGAGAGAGAGAAAGAGATTTAAATTAAATTTTTTAATAAGAGCGAGTGTGAGAGAGTGTGTGCGTGTGTGCGTGTGCGTGATTTTTTTTAAAATGAAATTTTATATGAATGAATGAATAAATAAATAAATATTGTATAAAAATGATTTTTAAAAAAAAAAATAAATAAATAAATAAATAAATTATAGAAATATTTAAAAACACGTGTACGTTTTATTCGCGTGCGTGTGCGCGTTTGCACGTGTGCACGCGTACGCGTAACATTTTCCCCCTTCGTCGTCGGTCGAATATAGAGATAGATTATGTAGAAGAAATTTTTTTTTTTTTTTTTTCCCAACACCTTGGAAAAAAAAAACCGGAAACGCAATGAAAATAAATAATTCAATTTTCTCACCCTCATCTAGTGTCCTTCCGGTCAAGTAGAAAAACTTAATAATAATAATAATAATAATAATGATAACATTACAGTGTTGTCGTTTCATCATCGCCGCTCATCATCATCATCATCATCATCATCATCATCCTCTTCGTCGAAAACGTCACACTTTTGAATACTCTTAACCATTCTATTGCAAATTTGTTGGACTTCTTGAATTCTAAATCGCGTGCGAGAGAGACAGAGAGAGAAAGAGAAAGAGAGAGAAAAACAATTATTAATAAATTATTTTTGTAAAAATAAAATTTAACAAAGGAATAAATAAAAAAAAAAAAAAAAATTTACTTGTATCTCAACGTATTATTATCTTGAATTATTGATGCCGCATCCAAATCGTCATCATCATCGTTGACGTCATCGTTGTTGACGTCACCATCAAACGTCGTCATCATTTTTTTCCCAAATTGTAAATTTGATTTTAATAAATAATTTAATTTATTCCCCTCGTCGTCATTATCCTTTCCCACACTTCTTTCTCCAGATTCCTTTTTCTCGGACGCATCCTTTTTTTCCGACGTCATCATTTCGTCACCGTCGTCATCGTTCCCAATTTTCGACGTGGCAATCATATCCCAAACATTTTTTTGCCTTTCCCTCTGAGTATTTTCCATCACCAATTTTAATATGGACGCACTTTGTAAAAGAGTCGTTAAATGAGTCAAATATTTCGTCAAATTTTCATCCGCTTCGTATATTTTCCTACAACAAAACGCAAAAAAAAATTAAAAATCCAGGAGGGAAAAGCGACGGGGGGAGGGGGGGGGAACTTTAAAATTTATAAACCAACTTGAAAAGCGATCCAATCATTTGACTCCCCAACAATTTATTCGTTTCTTCTAACGATTTTTCCACGAGACAGACGGCGGATTTATTATTTTTGAATTCGTTTCGCGATTCCTTCGGGAGCGTGTGTATGCTTTCCCAAATTTTCTGCCCCTCGTAGACTCTGTGGTAAGAAAAACAAAAAGGGTATCCATCATCATCATCAACCTTTTTTCAAAGACATTCTTCATCTAATGCCATCACTCACAAATCATCCAACGGTGTTTTCTTTCTAAAATTATCCGAATTCGTACAACGAACGTCTAAATTACGACATCTTTGCCTCGCCATCGTCACCAAACGTTTCTGTTCGTTTTTATTAAAAGAATTTTTCAACTCGGTTATTTTCTTATCTATTTCCACGACGTTTTGTATCCATTTTTGCACTTGGGGATTCGCTTTTAATTTTCCCTGCCAACAACAACAACAAATAAATATATAATTATAAATATAATTAATTTTCTTTTCTTTTCTTTCTCTCAACTCACGTTTTTCCTATAATGTATATAATTTTCCAAATCGACTTTGTGACTGAGTGATAAAAATTGATAGTAGCTTTCTATTTGATTCCATTCATCTCCCACATCCTCGTACAATGATTCTATAGCCAACGTTTTCTGCTTCGTGTGACTACTACAAAACACACAAAGGAAACTCTTTACCTCTCCATTTCGAACTACTCTCAAAGGAATCGGGAAAAATCAATGGAAATTTTTACATTTTAACGTTTATGCTCTTCCATAGGTATCTGTATAACATGGCTTCCGTTTGTAAAAAATAAACCGAATCCGCACATCGACGTTTCAATTGTCTATACCTCAAATCTCTTTCGCCATCTTCTATTATTTCTTTAACGTATTCTGGAACATTCCTCTTCGTCGCAGTCGCATTATTATTATCATTATTATTAAAGTTAATCGACTCGAAATTATAAAGATAAAAAGTAATTGCATTTTTTTCAATTTTCTAAAAAAAAAAAAAAAATAATAATAATAATAATTCTAAATTGTAACAGTATGAGCGTTTCATTCTTTTCTCTAAACAAAGACAATAATAATAATTTATATGGAAACTCAAATAAAAACATCTAATAATGATGATAATAATGATGAAATTTTTTTTTAAAATCCGGCCGGTTTATCATTATTATCATTATCATCATTACGATTGATAAAAAAAAAAAAAAAAAAAAAAAAATTGTATAAAATAACAGTAAATTAAATTTTGTCCCGTGCCTCGTGTCTCATAACGTTCAAAACATTTCCTTTTTCGTTTAAACATTTTCCATTTGGTAAAAGTAAAAGTTGATCGGACGCGTTCACATCCGTTTCCTCTTTCAGCCAACGTTTCAAATCTTGCACATCCGTTTCGGAAGTGATCTCGTACGATAAAATCTCGTGATTCGATACGGAAAATATTTTAACCAATTTTTTATTCAATATATTTTTCAATTCTTCGAATATGACGGGTCGATTACGATGGTCCGAATCATCTTGACGACGACCACGAGTTTGTCCATCCCAATCCAATGCCAATCTCAACCATTTTTCAATGTCTTTCAAATAACATCTGGAAAAAATCATCATCGCTCGTTAATTTCATTCCCCCCCGTTTACCTTCCTCCTCCCCCCTCTCCCATCCCATCCCATCCCCTCTCTTCCCCTTTTTCCGATCGAATTTTTAATAAAGTCCGGAAGCGCGAACTTGTGAACTTTGTCGGCGACGGCGGCACGAACACAAAACATAATAATAATAATTCAATAATCTCTATCCCCTCCCCCCTTTCCTCCTCCTCTCTCCCTCCCCTCTCCCCCCGCCTCTTGTTGCGTTAACATTTACCTCGATAAATGATTTTTTTCCGATATCTTCGTATTGAATTTAATATCTCCGTTGGCGTTTTCCAAAACGCAAATAACATTTCTCGGTTTGTTTTGTATTTGTCTCATCCAATCCGACGGGTAAAAACCTGGTAAAAACGGCCGGTACCCGGTTATTATTTCGTGTGCGAGCAAACCGAACGACCAATAATCTACAGAAGAAGTATATCTAAAATTAATCGACCTCGTCATTATGCTGCTGCTATCATCATCATCATCATCATCATTAAATTTGTTTGTTTGTTTGTTTGTTTTTTAAACTCACGCTTTTCCCAAAAACAATTCCGGTGCTATGTATTGTATCGTTCCGACAAACGATTGTGATAAACTGCTTTGATCGAACGCTTTCGCATATCCTAAATCGATGAGTTTGTAAACGATTCGTGACTCCGTTTCCTAACAAACACCCAACAAACAAAACAATTTAAATCTACTTAATGAGAGAGAAAGAGAGAGAGAGAGTGTCAGAGAGTGTGTCAGAGAGAGAGAGAGAGAGAGATAAACTCGTTAATATATATATAATTTGTAAAAAAAAAAAAAAAAGTGATTAAATTTTTATACTTTGTGCTATTATTATTATTATTATTATTATTATAAAAAAGCGTAAAAATTTTTCACCTCGTTAAAAAAAAAAAAAAATAACTTTGTAAATTTGTTGTTAACAAACTAATTTCAAAAATAATAATAATAATAATAATTAAACAATAACAAAAGATTTAAAAAAAAAAAAAAAAAAAAAACAAGTGAAATAATTAAATGAAATTATTTCAACTCTCTCTCTCTCTCTCACTCTATCTCTCCATCTCTTTTTCACATTTGAAGAAACGCAAAAATAACGAACCATCGAAACAATGTTGTCAGGTTTTAAATCTCTGTGAATTATTTTACAGGTATGTAGGTACGATAATCCGTTTGAAACATCTTTTAATATATCGAGTATTTCTTGCTCTTTCAATCCATTACAATTTTCTGGTTTGTTCAACATCTGAAAACAAAACAAAAATAATAATAATAATAATAATTCGTTTGTAAACTTCATTTCTTTTATCGCGCTTTGTTATTATTATCATTATCATTATCATTATTATCATTAATATTTTAACGATCGAACACTACAAGAAAATCCTTATCGAATATTTTTTTAGTAATTAAACAATTACCAAGGAATTTTTATAATTATTATTAAATTACCAAACAAACGAACAAACGAGCTAACAACGAGCAAACAAACGGATTTATTAAATATTGTACGACATTAATAAACTAAAAAAAAAAAAAAATTTATTTTTTATGACATAAACCGTATGAAATAAATTTAAAAAAAAAAAAAAAAAAAAATTACTAATAATTAATATTAACGTAAACAAATATTATTATTATTATTATTATTACTGCAAGAAATAAATAAATAAATAAATAATAATAATAATTCGCGAATTAAATGTTTATTAATTAATTAATATGATTTTGCAAAATAAATCCGGTTTCGTTTAACGCACAACCAATTAACCTTTTTCCCTTCATTTTCCCTCATTTTCTTTTTCTTTCTTTTTCTTCTTATCTCAAATCTTTTTTTTTTTTTTTTTTTTGTTATCATTTAAATTACTATATAAAGTACCGTAGTACGTAATTGCACGGTTTCACTCAAACGCCAAATAAAAAATAATAATAATAATAATAATAATAATTTTTTTTAGGTATAGTTTTAAGTATAAATTTACCATTATTATTATTATTATTATTATTATTATTATTATTATTATTATTTTCTTCCCAATTGTAATTAACCAATGGTATATTTTAAATGAAATTATTCTTAGAATTCGCGAGTAATAATAACACTCGTTACGCAATTATTTCAATTAATTGAATAATAATAATAATGATAATAATAATGGTAATAATTATCGTTGCAATTATATTTTAATTACTATATCCACAATCGAATGAATTTACTATCATATTATTATTATTATTATTATTATTATTATTATTATGAGTAGAGAAAATGATTAAATACCCCTCTCAAATCACCATTCGAACAATATTCCATGGCCAATAGGGGCAATGATGGTGATGATGATGATGATGTTGAATTATTGAAATCATTTGGTAAATCAAGAGTTGACACAATGTTCATGTGATTCAATTGTTTCATTATTTCCACTTCCTTACACCATCTTTCTGTGCATTTGTATTTCAATGTGGGATCTTTCAACGATTGATCATGAAGTTTTTTAATGGCTGAAATAAATAAATCAAATTTTACACAAAATCTCCATTTTAGTATTCCGAGTCAGACATGAGAGGAAACTCGCCAAGTTTTTGACCAGTGATGGAATTACACCAAAGTGTGACTTGTCCAAAACCACCACTACCGAGAATTTTTAATTTTTTCCATGATCCAATATTTGTCGAATCCATTGTACAACTACAAACAAACAAACAAAATATATAAGTTGAATGTTTGTTTGTTTGTTTGTTTAACAACTCTTCAACAACAAACAAAACAAACTTTTTCACGTTTTATAAATAATTTCCTTATGTATTATTTGAACAAATGTCACATTTTATGCAATCACATTACAAATTTTATCAAAAGTTTTAGAAATAAAAAAAAAAAAAAACTAACGGTTAAAACAAATTAAAAACTTTTTAAAAAACTTTTAAAAAAACGGATAAAAATAGTTTTTAACATCAATTGTTTAAAATTCCATAATAAAAAAAAAAAAAAAAAAAAAAAAAGGCTTAAGTCGATGCACTAAATCTCATATCCATTTACATCATCCGTTTTGCAAAAAAAATTTGACGTTTCGACCCCTTTTCCTTTATTACAATTTATTAAAAATGTATAAATAAATGTTATTTATTAATTTAATAATCATATTTACGTACCTTAAATAAATAATTTAAATAAATAAATTAAAATAATAAATAAAAAAAAAAAAGAAATAAAAATTCCATTCGTTTCCACGCTCTCGTTCATGACGAAACGCCAACAGCGGAATTTTTTGTTTTTCCCGAATCTCCGTCGTCTGCTATAAACCGCCACCGGAAATAGGAATCGAATGAAATTGAATTGACCAATCAGAGACCGTAAAATCTGTAACGATATTTCAACGGAATTTTTTTAACCATTTTTTGTTATTTTTTTATTTTTTTTGACGCCCGAAAACAAATTTTTTTATTTATAAATAAAACAAACAAACAAACAAACAACAACAACAACAATAATAATAATAATAATAATAATAATTTTTTTAGGTATAGTTTTAAGTATAAATTTACCATTATTATTATTATTATTTTCTTCCCGATTGCATGTAATTAACCAATGGTATATTTTAAATGAAATTATTCTTAGAATTCGCGAGTAATAATAACACTCGTTACGCAATTATTTCAATTAATTGAATAATAATAATGATGATGATAATAATGATAATAATTATCATTGCAATTATATTTTAATTACTTTATACACAATCGAATGAATTAACCATCATATTATTATTATTATTATTATTATGGGTAGAGAAAATGATTAAATACCCCTCTCAAATCACCATTCGAACAATATTCCATGGCCAATAGGGGCAATGATGGTGATGATGATGATGATGATGATGTTGAATTATTGAAATCATTTGGTAAATCGAGGGTTGACACAATGTTCATGTGATTCAATTGTTTCATTATTTCCACTTCCTTACACCATCTTTCTGTGCATTTGTATTTCAATGTGGGATCTTTCAACGATTGATCATGAAGTTTTTTAATGGCTGAAATAAATAAATCAAATTT